AAAGATTTCATATTTACAGGACACCGAACTTTTCCTCCCAATGCTTCACATTTAAAGCATAACAATGCTCTGTCTAGTGTCTTTGTTTGTTACCAAATTGATCATTTTTCACAAGTAGTGTAGTAAGCATGATACTTAAATGTGATTTTCTGATCAATCTGTTACAAGGAAGGTTTTGATTGGACCATCTGTTCCTGATTTGTAATTACTTGCATGTTAAATTGAAATCACGGATAAAAGCATAACACTACAAAGAAAGGGTAACATCAAAGACACTGTCCATTTACTTTTTTATATAGTAAAACATAAAAAAAAACCTCATAATACCAGATTTATCATCAGTGATAGATATTTCACAGTAAAACATTTAAAACTTAGATAATTTGAATTTAAAGTATGAATATTTACAATCAAAACATTTAAGACTACAATTAATAAATAATAAAAGTAATTCCTGAAATCAACTAACAAATGAAAGAACACAGATCTATAAAATCTCTATCCCCCTACGTACACACAGAGACTGGCGTTGAAGGAATGCTTCAAATGAGAACATTAAGGTCGCTTTCCCGTAAATGTGGTTGAAACAGTTGAAGTACCAGCTGAAACTGCAAGTGAAACACCAGGTACAGATCTAGACAAGATTGCAGAATATTTGGCACATCCAGTTTGAGGGATCCAACAGTAGCCCTCTGAAACTAACTGACTGAATATAATAAGTTTGCAGATTTTATGCATAAGCAGTGTCTGGAAATGTAATGCTATTCAGTTAAGGTTAAAATGAATGATGATTTTTGGTTTGTTGTTTTATGTTGACAGGAAATGCCAAAACTGTATTCTAAGCTTTATATTTTTACATATATGGTACAGGTGCATTTCTTTACCATGAAATAATCCCGGACTGAACCATTCCAACCAGGTTACACGAAAGCGATCTATATACTACCAGTCTTTAATGATATCTGGCCGTATCAAAAAATATCTAAAATATCTTTGTAAAGTAAACTTTGTAAACTTATGAAGTCTTTAAGTTAATAAAATCGGCATCATTTGTGTATGTTTGTATGATACAGTTTACATACCTTGTCATTCATTTACAACTCCATCCCATTCAGTATACCACAAGATTTTCTGTTAAAAGTATTAGCACCAAAGTTACAATGGTGTCCCAGTAAATATCCTTAAGCATACCTACCCTCTAAGAGCACCATTGTTTATCTTGTTTAAGCACCAAATAAGGTCACAAAAACATTCAGGTAAAATATAGGTATATTAAATGCATGTTCTGGGATCTGTGTTCGCTCTTAGCTGCTGGGGTTTATTGCACCCACTAAAAATTGTTCACTGCATCATGCAACTTAAGCAAAGACAAAATCTGTCAAAATAAATTCCATTAAACTAAACAATAGATAAAACTGTACTGATGTATATATATTGTATATTTCATACTGATCCTTAAAGTGGGTGGGCCCGATTCATTCAAATATGACGGATTTTGAGAGGGAATCATTCACACTTGATCTTTATCATCTTCGTATAAAACTGTTTGTCTTTACCCAGTGATTAAATTCATCTTAAAATACAATATATATACAGTATACAGTGTGAGTTGAAATTCGGATAAGTCGAAATATTTTCCATGGTCCCTTGAGATAACAAGTCTTAACTGTTTATATATATGTATATATATATATATACATTGAACTAGTAACTATGTTGTGCATTGACTAGATAATTGAAGGGTTACAATAATGCTGTTACCAAGTCATTAAAACAGATGGCTGAAATAATGATAATATAACCTTTATAATCATCTAACCGATGCACAGTACTTTAATATACCATTAACTTTTGTCCTGATGGAAAACAATCAAACGTTTAACTACATGGGAGCAAACGTTAAACCGTAGCGGAGCAAACGTTAAACCATAGCAGAGCAAACGTTAAACTGCAGCAGAGCAAACATTAAACTGCAGCAGAGCTGACGTTAAACTGCAGCAGAGCAGACGTTAAACTGCAGCAGAGCAAATGTTAAACTGCAGCAGAGCAAATGTTAAACTACAGCAGAGCTGAAGTTACGCTGCAGCAGAGCAAATGTTAAACTGCAGCAGAGCAAATGTTTAACTGCAGCAGAGCTGAAGTAACGCTGCAGCAGAGCAAATGTTAAACTGCAGCAGAACTGAAGTTACGCTGCAGCAGAGCAGACGTGAAGCTTCAGTGAAAATGAGCAAACGTTAAACTTCAGTGAAAGTTTCCTCATATATAGTAATAAAAACCTAAAACAGAACAATAAATATGCATGTAGCAAGGCAACATCAAAAACAAACATAGAAAACAGAAATAACCAACTTATACTTTGTAAGAGATGAGATCATTGGAAATATGCATACAAAAACAAAAACAAAACAAAAAAAAACTGGTAAAATTTTAAAAGTATTTTCCATAGCATCACTGATTATCTGGTTTTAATGGTTTCAAAGTAAGGAGTGGAGGCAAAATCTAAACTTTGTTTAGTTCTCGTCATTTTCTTCGTGATTAACTTGAAGTTCAAGTTTTCATATGACCAACAAAACTATCTGTAGTCCCTCACTGGTCAAATGCCCATTGTAATAACATAAACACATTGTTGGCCTATAGTGTCATATCATATGGCCATGTTATAAATATTATACACACATGGATGATAACACTGTTGTGACCTAATAAACAAGTTATGTCTTGATTGTTTTGGTATCAAACAAGAGGGCCATGGTCTTTAACAGTCATCTGACAATCTATGGATGGACGTACAGACCAAAGAATTTGTTGAGGAAATCAGATGAATTCATATTTTGAATATTCCCTAGAAAGTATCAGAACTCATGAATGGTAGGTTTTGGTCATTACAAAATCATTATGCAATTATGTTACATAATGGCTACTTTTGCTACCATGTTGAACTTTTGACCAGGCTAAAAAATAACAACATATCATCTGTTTCTTTTCCTTAACAAATTAAACTCCAAATATTTTTCTCAATGGTGCGAATGAAACTTCAGAAGTAGTTTGACTATTTATTCAAGATGAGTCATGTCTGTTTTTGGACCAAACCTAAAAGAGTAAGATTTGGTCAGGACAATCTCAGGTTCACTTCATGCATGTTTGATATCATTGCCAATCGCTGATAATGTTTCAGGCCAAATGTGAGTGAAATCCATTCTGAATATTGCCTAACATCCCATTTGGGGCCCTGCCCTGAAGTTCCCAGCAGTTGAATCAACTTTCTGAATTTAAATATTAATTGCCAACCTCTAATGCTGTTTCTGATGAAATTTGGTTGAAATTTAACCAGGTCATGAAGAAGGAGTAGTGTTTCAAAGCAAAATATTGTTTAAGTTCCCCTTTTGTAGTCCCGCCCTTACATCCCTAGGGGTCAAATCAATTTCTGAATCAAATGTTTTAGACAAAATTTTAATGAAATACTTTCAAGTATAAGGAAGAGTAGTGTTTTAAAGTAAAGTTATGTCTGACTTTCGTTTTGGGGCCCCATCCCCAGGTCCCTAGGCGTCAAATCAATTTTCTGAATTTAAGAAATGATTCCCCATCACCAATAATGTTTCAGACCAAATTTGGTTGAAATCTACCCATGCATTAAGCAGGAGTAGTGATTAAAAGGAAAAGTTTATGGACAGCAGATAGTGCACGACAACGGATAACATACAATAGCTTTGTGTCAGATGACCAAAAAACATAATGGCCACCTGAAATAGGTCTGTTTTACAGGGATTTCAATTGGAGAGTTTTTGCGTATTTTTCAGAAATAAGGGTTGTGTGAATCTTACACTTGTGCTGGTGCAATATGAAATTTATCAAACTTGTTAAATAAATTCTATATTACAATGGCATTCTTGTAAGATCCTCTATATATCATTCCAGTAAAGATATTCTGTGGATTCAAATTTGTAAACAGACAGAAACATACTGAATGATGTAAACCTTATAGTCCCAATATCATACATTGCGAGAGACTAAAACTATTTAATATCCCATACTGTGGACTGTGAGGGACTGAAAATGTTCAAAATCCAATTCTGTACATTGTGAGAGAAAAAAAATTTTCAAATCCCCATAATGTTCATACAAGGGACTAAAACTATCAAAATATTTATATATCAGTTTAAAAAATAAAAAATAAAAAAACCCCACATAAACAGCACCATATAATTAAACAATTAATGAAACCAGAGTATTGTAGTGTGTTACTGAAGGAGGAGCCAGACAATAGAGTGTTGATGTTTGTTACTGAGGAGCTAGACAACAAAGTATTGGTGTGTGTTAGTGAGGGGGAGCCTAACACTAGAGATGATGTGTTTTACAGAGGAGGGGCCAGACACAAGAGTGAGTGTGTTACAGGAGCCAGACAACATAGTATTGATGTGTGTTAGGGAGGGAGCCTAACACTAGAGATGGTGTGTGTTACAGAGGAGGGGCCAGATACTTGCGTGATAGTGTGTGTTACAGAAGGAGGGGCTAGACAACATAGTATTGATGCGTGTTAGGGAGGGGAAGTCTAACACTAGAGATAGTGTGTGTTACAGAGGAGGGGCCAGACACTTGATTGATAGTGTGTGTTATACCCTGTACCCAATAGATCTGTGTATGTCAATAAAGTTAATTCATACTACATCAATACTACACATTGGAAAAATAGTATAAGCTGACTTTGTACTTAATACAGTGATTAGGTTATATCTAGTATCTGTATAGACAGTATCACCCACACCATCACCCGCACCATCACCCACACCATCACCCGCACCATCACCCGCACCAGGGGGATTTGTTGTAATTCACACCTTCATCTTAAGTCTTTTTTCTCCTATACCAAGTCTGCAGACTTGTCCCACCCTACCATGTGTCTGCAGTGCTCTGATCATGCCCACTGTCCCACCCTATCGTGTGTCTGCAGTGCTCAGATCATGCCCACTGTCTGACATAACTAATGCTATCATTGTCGTCTTTTACATTCCCTGAGCATTCTGTATCCTTTCTCCTTCACATGTGTCCATGAATTTTCTGGAAAAACAAAATGTTTCATTAATTGGGAAATTGGACATGGATGCTGTTCAAGAGGTGTGTACAAAATTTGTTGTTGAGTGATGTTGTACAACAGGTGTATACATGTTGCTTGCATTTCATAAAACTTGATTGGTTTAAGAACAAAGTTCTCAAAAACAAATTGAAATAATGAACAAGTTTGAGTGTTATCATAATTATTATGTGGACTGATATTTAGTAGTGAAAGCTTGGACTGCAGACATGACAAGACATATCTTGACAGACTACCTGATGGCGTTGGGCAGTTCTGGGGCCATAAAGATGAGTTTGTGCCCATATCCATAGCTGGCATTGAAAGAGATAAACTCAAGTGGTCCACTGTGTGTAGGACGTGTCTCTGAAGCTATACCATAAAGCTGTAAAGTAGAGATTTTTTTTCAGAATATCATTCTTTGATGATACATACAGATACTAACAATGATTTTTATTTCATATTTTACCATGTACTGTAATTTTCATATTCAGGATTTCATTTCCTTGCAACAATATTTTTTAAAAAAGACTTCATATAGTTTAATTTTATATCTCCAGTGAGACATGTTTACCATAGGAATAAATCTGACAGGTTAATCTTGTAGAGTATAACACCTGACAGGTTAATCTTGTAGAGTATAACACCTGACAGGTTAATCTTGTAGAGTATAACACCTGGCAGGTTAATCTTGTAGAGTATAACACCTGACAGGTTAATCTTGTAGAGTATAACACCTGGCAGGTTAATCTTGTAGAGTATAACACCTGACAGGTTAATCTTGTAGAGTATAACACCTGGCAGGTTAATCTTGTAAAGTATAACACCTGACAGGTTAATCTTGTAAAGTATTAATAAAACATCCAGACAACACCATTTCACAGAAGCTGAAGTTTGGCCGTTGGCAATTCTCAGTGATACAGAACTAAAATATTTACCTTTTTCCCAAGCTCAAATGGTACCACCTTATCATCTTCAGCATGTAGAATCAGGAGAGGTGTGGTTACATGGGCAATACTGAAACAACAAAAAATTCTATCATACTGAATATTGTCTTTATTATATCTGAAGTATGGACATGAATTCCTTAGGTCCAGGTAGTTATGTCAAATATATCTCCTACCATAAGTCATCATTATTGTATGTGTAGTGTGCACACCACCTAATTTAGTAGGATTAATTTATGATGACTTCAGTTGACTATGTGCTATTATTTCAATCTTAATATCTAATAGTACTATATTACCTGTGTGGACCCTAGTGCACTTCTAGTTTAATATCTGCAGTTTTTTTCTTGTGAACTAGAAGTCTTTTCCTCGTGCACTAGAAGAGAACTAGAGTGTACAGATTAGTCTACACTCAACTGTAAACATTTAACCCTCATATGTAGGTTACTTGTGTTACTCTAGTTGTCCATAAATGAGACGAAATCAACATCTTGTAAACTTTGACGGTAAACATCTATGAATGAAGTAACATCTAATACCAGAGGTCAAACCCTGCTTATGTTAATGAAGCAGTATATAAATGACATCAGATATCAATTTCTGGTGACCTTTTGACAAAGCCAATCAGCGATGCAGTATCTGAATCATGTGAGAGGTCAACCTCTGATGACCTTCAATATAACCAATCAGTGACGCAGCAGTTGAATGCTGTGAAAGGTTAAAATCTGGGTGATCTTTGATGTAGCATATCAATGAAGGAGGATTTTAAATGCCATCCAGAGATCAACCTCTGGGTGATCTTTAATGTAGGTTATCAGGGAGCCAGCATTTAAAGTGAGAGGTCAATGTCTGGTGACCTATGTAGCCAATCAGTGAAGTAGCATCTAAATGACATCCCTGCTATTTGAAATCTGTTGTTTCTTACCTATTGTCAAAAGTCACACATACTTGAAAGAAACATTAATTTGTTACCAGCCTCTCCCACTGGCTATGTGACACTTACTTTTTATCAGCCTCTCACACTGGCCATGTGACACTCACTTTTTATCAGCCTCTCCCACTGGCCATGTGACACTCACTTTTTATCAGCCTCTCCCACTAGCCATTTGACACTCACTTTTTATCAGCCTCTCACACTGGCCATGTGACACTCACTATTTATCAGCCTCTCACACTGGCCATGTGACACTCACTTTTTATCAGCCTCTCACACTGGCTATGTGACACTCACTTTTTATCAGCCTCTCACACTGGCCATGTGATGCACACTTTTTATCAGCCTCTCCCACTGGCCATGTGACACTCACTTTTTATCAGCCTCTCACACTGGCCATGTGACACTCACTTTTTATCAGCCTCTCACACTGGCCATGTGACACTCACTTTTTATCAGCCTCTCACACTGGCCATGTGACACTCACTTTTTATCAGCCTCTCACACTGGCCATGTGACACTCACTTTTTATCAGCCTCTCCCACTGGCCATGTGGACACTCACTTTTTATCAGCCTCTCACACTGGCCATGTGACACTCACTTTTTATCAGCCTCTCACACTGGCCATGTGACACTCACTTTTTATCAGCCTCTCACACTGGCCATGTGACACTCACTTTTTATCAGCCTCTCACACTGGCCATGTGACACTCACTTTTTATCAGCCTCTCACACTGGCCATGTGACACTCACTTTTTATCAGCCTCTCACACTGGCCATGTGACACTCACTTTTTATCAGCCTCTCACACTGGCCATGTGACACTCACTTTTTATCAGCCTCTCCCACTAGCCATTTGACACTCACTTTTTATCAGCCTCTCACACTGGCCATGTGACACTCACTTTTTATCAGCCTCTCACACTGGCCATGTGACACACACTTTTTATCAGCCTCTCCCACTGGCCATGTGACACTCACTTTTTATCAGCCTCTCCCACTGGCCATGTGACACACACATTTTATCAGCCTCTCCCACTGGCCATGTGACACACACTTTTTATCAGCCTCTCCCACTGGCCATGTGACATTCACTTTTTATCAGCCTCTCCCACTGGCCATGTGACACACACTTTTTATCAGCCTCTCCCACTGGCCATGTGACACACACTTTTTATCAGCCTCTCCCACTGGCCATGTGACACTCACTTTTTATCAGCCTCTCCCACTGGCCATGTGACACTCACTTTTTATCAGCCTCTCCCACTGGCCATGTGACACTCACTTTTTATCAGCCTCTCCCACTGGCCATGTGACACACACTTTTTATCAGCCTCTCACACTGGCCATGTGACACACACTTTTTATCAGCCTCTCCCACTGGCCATGTGACACTGACGTTTTATCAGCCTCTCCCACTGGCTATGTGACACTCACTTTTTATCAGCCTCTCACACTGCCTATGTGACACTCACTTTTTATCAGCCTCTCCCACTGGCCATGTGACACACACATTTTATCAGCCTCTCCCACTGGCCATGTGACACTCACTTTTTATCAGCCTCTTCCACTGGCCATGTGATATTCACTTTTTATCAGCCTCTCCCACTGGCCATGTGACACACACATTTTATCAGCCTCTCCCACTGGCCATGTGACACACACTTTTTATCAGCCTCTCCCACTGGCCATGTGACACACACATTTTATCAGCCTCTCCCACTGGCCATGTGACACACACATTTTATCAGCCTCTCCCACTGGCTATGTGACACACACTTTTTATCAGCCTCTCCCACTGGCCATGTGACACACACATTTTATCAGCCTCTCCCACTGGCTATGTGACACACACATTTTATCAGCCTCTCCCACTGGCTTTGTGACACACACATTTTATCAGCCTCTCCCACTGCCTATGTGACACTCACATTTTATCAGCCTCTCACACTAGCCATGTGACACACACATTTTATCAGCCTCTCCCACTGGCCATGTGACACTCACTTTTTATCAGAGGTAAAGCTGATGTTGTTCAGATCAATGGTATCCAGGAAGACTGCCTCAAACCAGGGCAACATTCGGAAAGGCTGAAATAATACAAATAATCCAAGGGAGCAAATTCAAAAAAAGACTGAATTGAAATAGGTAACCAAGATCTGATGAAAGTGTTCACAATGAGGGAACTCAAAAGTAGAAGCCATTACAATGAGGGAACTTAACAGTTGAAGCTATTACAATGAGGGCACTCAATAGTGAATACCATTATTATGAGAGAACTCAATAGTTAATACTATTACAATGAGGGGACTCAATAGTGAATAACATTACAATGAGGGGACTCAATAGTGGATAACATTACAATGAGGGGACTCAATAGTGGATAACATTACAATGAAGGGACTCAATAGTGAATAACATTACAATGAGGGGACTCAATAGTGAATAACATTACAATGAGGGGACTCAATAGTGGATAACATTACAATGAGGGGACTCAATAGTGGATAACATTACAATGAGGGGACTCAATAGTGGATAACATTACAATGAGGGGACTCAATAGTGAATAACATTAAAATGAGGGGACTCAATAGTGAATAACATTACAATGAGGGGACTCAATAGTGAATAACATTAAAATGAGGGGACTCAACAGTGGCTAACATTACAATGAGGGGACTCAATAGTGGATAACATTACAATGAGGGGACTCAATAGTGGATAACATTACAATGAGGGGACTCGATAGTGAATAACATTACAATGAGGGGACTCAATAGTGAATACCATTACAATGAGGGGACTCAATAGTGGGTAACATTAAAATGAGGGGACTCAATAGTGGATAACGTTACAATGAGGGGACTCAATAGTGGATAACATTACAATGAGGGGACTCAATGGTGAATAACATTACAATGAGGGAACTCAATAGTGAATAACATTACAATGAGGGGACTCAATAGTGGATAACATTACAATAAGGGGACTCAATAGTGGATAACATTACAATGAGGGGACTCAATAGTGGATAACATTACAATGAGGGAACTCAATAGTGAATATCATTACAATGAGGGGACTCAATAGTGGATAACATTACAATGAGGGGACTCAATAGTGAATACCATTACAATGAGGGGACTCAATAGTGGATAACATTACAATGAGGGGACTCAATAGTAAATAACATTACAATGAGGGGACTCAATAGTAAATAACATTACAATGAGGGGACTCAATAATGAATACCATTACAATGAGGGGACTCAATAGCTTTAAGGTTATGTCCTGTGTTTACAGATCCTACATCTAGACACACTACTTACAGCTGTGAATGGGTGTTTAGAGGCTGCTTCCCTGATGTTGGTGAAAGGTGATTCCAGAACCACACCTAACGGTTCTTCATCTGGGAACACAGAGGTACATTATAGTACCGGTACAACATGGATCAATATATAATGTATACAATATCATCAACCATCAATGTCAATTTAAATTCCACAAAAAGTTTACAAGAAACTAAACAAAAAGTTAAGTTTTTATATCCTAAAAGTTGAAAGTTTAGTAACAGTTTTAGGGACTTAAGGCACAAAACAATGTACAATACATAGAAATATATCGACATACCTTTTTCACACAGCATCTTTGCCAATTTAGTTGTAATTCTGAAAGTAAAACATAACCCCAATACAATAACATTTTTTACTATAACATAACATATCAAAGTGTATGCTTCACTAAATACAGGTTTCCCTTGACATTGTATCCCTCCATCTGAGATGAGATGATCTCATACCTTAACTATATAATAATTCACAGCGATTTTTGTAGAACTCAGTGTGTGTTGTAGTTAGTCTTATGAACTAAGATTACTCATGCTGTTCAAAGAGAATGTCCCCACAGGTACACAGGTGTGTCACCACTTCTCTGTTTAATGTGATGTAGTAAGTGTTATGAACAAAGATTACTCACGCTGTACCAAGAGAATGTCCCCACAGGTACACAGGTGTGTCATCACTCCACTGTTTAATGTTTGTTGTAGTAAGTGTTATGAACCAAGATTACTCACGCTGTACCAAGAGAATGTCCCCACAGGTACACAGGTGTGTCACCACTTCTCTGTTTAATGTGATGTAGTAAGTGTTATGAACCAAGATTACTCACGCTGTACCAAGAGAATGTCCCCACAGGTACACAGGTGTGTCACCACTTCTCTCTCTAATCCACTTATACATGAAGTAACCATCTGCTACCACTCCGTCTTCAGTTGGCACCCCAAATGAGTCTGCCCAGCCTGAATTACATACATTTAGTAAGTATTACAGATAAACTGCTATTAGGGACACCAGGTAGGTAGCCTGTACTATATACAGGTGGGAGAAACTTGTCCCATTATAAGCAGAATTTGGCTTCAATTATTGTGAGGACAGAATGGGCCAAGCAAACACAATCTGATCTGTTCAAGTTCATTTGATTTCCCAAATGCAATACAGGTAATAAAGAAACAATAATAGCTTTTAATTAGTACAATATACAAAATGACAAAAGTTCAATATCACACATATCTACCCATCTGTATATAGCATCTGATACTGATCAAGCATGGTTACACTGGGCTCACATCTGTTACAGCCGGTTACACATGGGTTTTGTTTTGTCTATTATCTTTGTCTACTCACCTCTATAATCAAATGCTATCACATGGAAATCCATGGCCACAAGAAGTTTGTATAGCTGCACTCTGTGCCAGCCAGCTCTAAAACACAAAATCAGTGACAAATATAAATACTTAGAAATACTGTAATTAAAATTCTATCAAAGTTATACCAGACAAGGAATGATGTGGATAAACAATGATTCAGGATGACAGGTTTCTACCTCAACAGTATGTAAACAATTATTGGTATATAAACACTCACTGATATATAAACATTTATTGGTATATAAACAATTATTGGTATATAAACATGTATTGCTATATAAACACTCACTGATATATAAACAATTATTGTTATATAATCATTTATTGATATATAACCAATTATTGGGATATAAACACTCACTGATATATAAACAATTATTGGTATATTAGCAGTCAAGTCACTGATCCTCTTATCCTTTTTCATTGATTTACCTTGACCCAGAAGTTCCATGAAGGTAAAGAAAGATGGGTTTACCATCCTTCAACAAGTTATCATATTGGTTGAATTCAACTCCAGATGCAGCGTCTGACTGAGGGATTAAATGCCTACAGTATAAAAAATATAAATCTGATTATCTACCTGTAATGAGCATTACATAATGATACTAAGAGTCATGCTATATCAAGCTTTCAAACCTAGTATTTTATCACCAGTTATATGGTCCTCAACATTCAGATCTAGACCTTTATCACAGGTTATATGGTCCTCACCATTCAGACCTAGTCCTTTATCACAGGTTATATGGTCCTCACCATTCAGACCTAATCCTTTATCACAGGTTATATGGTCCTCACCATTCAGACCTAGTCCTTTATCACAGGTTATATGGTCCTCACCATTCAGACCAAGTCCTTTATCACAGGTTATATGGTCCTCACCATTCAGATCTAGACCTTTATCACAGGTTATGTGGTCCTCACCATTCAGACCTAGTCCTTTATCACAGGTTATATGGTCCTCACCATTCAGACCTAATCCTTTATCACAGGTTACATGGTCCTCACCATTCAGACCAAGTCCTTTATCACAGGTTATATGGTCCTCAACATTCAGACCTAGTCCTTTATCACAGGTTATATGGCCCTCACCATTCAGACCTAGTCCTTTATCACAGGTTATATGGTCCTCACCATTCAGACCTAATCCTTTATCACAGGTTATATGGTCCTCACCATTCAGACCTAATCCTTTATCACAGGTTATATGGTCCTCACCATTCAGACCTAGTCCTTTATCACAGGTTATATGGTCCTCACCATTCAGACCAAGTCCTTTATCACAGGTTATGTGGTCCTCACCATTCAGACCAAGTCCTTTATCACAGGTTATGTGGTCCTCACTATTCAGACCAAGTCCTTTATCACAGGTTATGTGGTCCTCAACATTCAGACCTAGTCCTTTATCACAGGTTATGTGGTCCTCACCATTCATACCTAGTCCTTTATCACAGGTTATGTGGTCCTCACCATTCAGACCTAGTCCTTTATCACAGGTTATTTGGTCCTCACCATTCAGACCCAATCCTTTATCACAGGTTATATGGTCCTCACCATTCAGACCTAGTCCTTTATCACAGGTTATATGGTCCTCACCATTCAGACCTAGTCCTTTATCACAGGTTATTTGGTCCTCACCATTCAGACCCAATCCTTTATCACAGGTTATATGGTCCTCACCATTCATACCTAGTCCTTTATCACAGGTTATGTGGTCCTCACCATTCAGACCTAGTCCTTTATCACAGGTTATTTGGTCCTCACCATTCAGACCTAGTCCTTTATCACAGGTTATATGGTCCTCACCATTCAGACCAAGTCCTTTATCACAGGTTATTTGGTCCTCACCATTCAGACCAAGTCCTTTATCACAGGTTATTTGGTCCTCACCATTCAGACCAAGTCCTTTATCACAGGTTATTTGGTCCTCACCATTCAGACCAAGTCCTTTATCACAGGTTATATGGTCCTCACCATTCAGACCTAGTTCTTTATCACAGGTTATATGGTCCTCACCATTCAGACCAAGTCCTTTATCACAGGTTATTTGGTCCTCACCATTCAGACCAAGTCCTTTATCACAGGTTATGTGGTCCTCACCATTCAGACCAAGTCCTTTATCACAGGTTATATGGTCCTCACCATTCAGACCTAATCCTTTATCACAGGTTATATGGTCCTCACCATTCAGACCTAGTCCTTTATCACAGGTTATTTAGTCCTCACCATTCAGACCAAGTCCTTTATCACAGGTTATGTGGTCCTCACCATTCAGACCAAGTCCTTTATCACAGGTTATATGGTCCTCACCATTCAGACCTAATCCTTTATCACAGGTTATATGGTCCTCAACATTCAGATCTAGTCCTTTATCACAGGTTATATGGTCCTCACCATTCAGACCTAGTCCTTTATCACAGGTTATATGGTCCTCAACATTCAGACCTAGTCCTTTATCACAGGTTATATGGTCCTCACCATTCAGACCTAATCCTTTATCACAGGTTATGTGGTCCTCACCATTCAGACCTAGTACTTTATCACAGGTTATATGGTCCTCACCATTCAGACCAAGTCCTTTATCACAGGTTATGTGGTCCTCACCATTCAGACCAAGTCCTTTATCACAGGTTATGTGGTCCTCACCATTCAGACCAAGTCCTTTATCACAGGTTATATGGTCCTCACCATTCAGACCAAGTCCTTTATCACAGGTTATGTGGTCCTCACCATTCAGACCAAGTCCTTTATCACAGGTTATGTGGTCCTCACCATTCAGACCAAGTCCTTTATCACAGGTTATGTGGTCCTCACCAAGTATACAACAGGATAACAATTAAATGAACAGGATCAAACTTAATTCTAAAACTTCCTGTTTTGTGAAAAAATTCTGTACGTGTTAGAATTCCCAGTACACAACAGGATAACACTTAAATCATTCCGCAGTACACATCAGAATCAAACTTAAATCTAAAATTTCCTGTTCTGGAAAAGTTTCCAAGTTATGATTTCAGCATCATCTGTTCAGTATTCTAAATATGCAAGCTTCATCTAACTCCATTACTGCTGATTTATAGAGGACACTTTCACTATTTCTAACCAACCACCAACCCTGCTGTTTTTATGAGACATACATTGTCACTCTTTCTTACCAAACTCCAACCCTGCTGTTTTTATAAGACATACAATGTTAGTCTTTCTTACCAAACTCCAACCCTGCTGTTTTTATAAGACATACAATGTTAGTCTTTCTTACCAAACTCCAACCCTGCTGTTTTTATAAGACATACAATGTTAGTCTTTCTTACCAAACTCCAACCCTGCTGTTTTTATAAGACATACAATGTTAGTCTTTCTTACCAAACTCCAACCCTGCTGTTTTTATAAGACATACAATGTTAGTCTTTCTTACCAAACTCCAACCCTGCTGTTTTTATAAGACATACAATGTTAGTCTTTCTTACCAAACTCCAACCCTGCTGTTTTTATAAGACATACAATGTTAGTCTTTCTTACCAAACTCCAACCCTGCTGTTTTTATAAGACATACACTGTTAGTCTTTCTTACCAAACTCCAACCCTGCTGTTTTTATAAGACATACACTGTCGCTCTCTCTTACCAAACTCCAACCTTGCTGTTTTCGTCTACTTGTAGGTAGAAGTTCCTGACGGAGTCTCCCAGACCAAACTCATCAGGCTTTGTGACATCTATAAATGGAGGCCATCGAACTGTAATCAAATCACAATATATCAGTTTAGGTATAAATACAGAAACGTCACATTCAAAATGATCTTTTTTTTCAAATTGTAATTGTTGTAGAATAGAAGTTCGTATGTACACATGTACAACCAGTAGAAGATTTGAATGTGATGTTTCAATGTCTACACAGTCACCTTCATTAGACAAATGACCAGTGTTGAGTGTACTAGCACTGTTACACAGTGTACAAGATGGTAAGAAATTGAGAAACACAAGAGGAGGAAAGTATACCGGAATAAAAGCAAAACAGTAAAAAAAAAAATCATAAATGGAGAAAGGGTGACAATATAACAAGATTTTACAGGATAAATTGTGAAACATTAATAAGGCTTTCTGTGAGAAAAGGTGAAAGTATACCTGTAGAAATGTTTCACAGGAGAAAGGTTGACAGTACAACAAGGTTTTACAGAAGAAATGGTGAAAATTAAAAAATTTTATTGGAGAAATGGTGAAAGTTTAATAAGGTTTTACATAAGAAATGGTGATAGTATACTTGTAAAAAGGTCTTATAGGAGAAATGGTGACAGTATAACAAGGTTTTACAAGAGAAATGGTGACAGTACAACAAGGTTTTACAGAAGAAATGGTGAAAATTTAAAAAATTTTATTGGAGAAATGGTGAAAGTTTAATAAGGTTTTACATAAGAAATGGTGACAGTATACTTGTAAAAAGATCTTATAGGAGAAATGGTGACAGTATAACAAGGTTTTACAAGAGAAATGGTGACAGTAAAACAAGGTTTTACAGGAGAAATGGTGAAAATTTAAAAAATTTTATTGGAGAAATGGTGAAAGTTTAACAAGGTTTTACAGGAGAAATGGTGACAGTATAACAAGGTTTTACAGGAGAAATGGTGACAGTATAACAAGGTTTTACAGGTTTTACAGAAATGGTGACAGTATAACAAGGTTTTACAGGAGAAATGGTGAAAGTGACAGTATAACAAGGTTTTACATTGGTTACAAGGTTTTACAGGAGGAAGGGTGACAGTATAACAAGGTTTTACAGGAGAAATGGTGACAGATAACAAGGTTTTACAGGAGAAATGGTGACAGGAAAAGTATAACAAGGTTTTACAGGAGAAAGGGTGACAGTATAACAAGGTTTTACAGGAGGAAGGGTGACAGTATAACAAGGTTTTACAGGAGAAATGGTGACAGTATAACAAGGTTTTACAGGAGAAATGGTGACAGTATAACAAGGTTTTACAGGAGAAATGGTGACAGTATAACAAGGTTTTACAGGAGAAAGGGTGACAGTATAACAAGGTTTTACAGGAGGAAGGGTGACAGTATAACAAGGTTTTACAGGAGAAATGGTGACAGTATAACAAGGTTTTACAGGAGAAATAGTGACAATATAACAAGGTTTTACAGGAAAAAGGGTGACAGTATAACTTGTTTATAAGATAAATAAAGACATGATAACAGATTTATGGGAAAATGGTGATAGTATATAGAGGGTACTCAATGGTTTCCTGTTAATTTCCTATAAATATAGTTTCCAAAATGTACATATTCTGTCATATTCACGGAATATATAATACTTAACAGGAAACCAATTAAATTTACTTATTATTACATTTTCAAATGAAATTAATTCCTTCCCTAGGAACTACTCAAATGTTATGTGAATACAATCTAACGGTCCAGATCTTTCAGAGGTTGTATACATCTTTATGCATTTATGATATTTAATGATGACTCTAGAATTGATTGACTAGTTGTTTACGATCTAAACTTAAGCTTAAATGAACACACTTACAATTGTTGAGGAACACTGCTTTAGACTGTATCCATGGATTTGTCAGGATTAGTACTGGGGTGAGAACGTGCAAACAAAACAAAAATCCCAAGATCAACTTTACACAGAGTAGTATGAGTCTCCATAACCATCTGTAACATAAAGAATAAAAACACTCTTTCAGAGCCATATATAACATAAAGAATAAAAACACTCTTTCAGAGCCATATATAACATAAAGAATAAAAACACTCTTTCAGAGCCATATATAACATAAAGAATAAAAACACTCTTTCAGAGCCATATATAACATAAAGAATAAAAACACTCTTTCAGAGCCATATATAACATAAAGAATAAAAAAAGAGCCATATATAATCTTTCAGAGCCATATATAACATAAAGAATAAAAACACTCTTTCAGAGCCATATATAACATAAAGAATAAAAACACTCTTTCAGAGCCATATATAACATAAAGAATAAAAACACTCTTTCAGAGCCATATATAACATAAAGAATAAAAAAAAGCCATATATAACATAAAGAATAAAAACACTCTTTCAGAGCCATATATAACATAAAGAATAAAAACACTCTTTCAGAGCCATATATAACATAAAGAATAAAAACACTCATATATAACATAAAGAGCCATATATAACATAAAGAATAAAAACACTCTTTCAGAGCCATATATAACATAAAGAATAAAAACACTCTCATATATAACATAAAGAGCCATATATAACATAAAGAATAAAAACACTCTTTCAGAGCCATATATAACATAAAGAATAAAAACACTCTTTCAGAGCCATATATAACATAAAGAATAACAACACTCTTTCAGAGCCATATATAACATAAAGAATAAAAACACTCTTTCAGAGCCATATATAACATAAAGAATAAAAACACTCTTTCAGAGCCATATATAACATAAAGAATAAAAACACTCTTTCAGGGCCATATATAACATAAAGAATAAAAAACACTCTTTCAGGGCCATATATAACATAAAGAATAAAAAACTCTCTTTCAGAGCCATATATAACATAAGGAATATAAAACACTCATATTCAGAGCCATATATAACATAAAAATCAGGGCCATATATAACACTCTTTCAGAGCCATATATAACATAAACTCTCTTTCTGGGACATAAAGAAAAAAACACTCTCTCAGGGCAATATATAAAATAAAGAATAAAAAACACTCTTTCAGAGCCATATATAACATAAAGAATAAAAACACTCTTTCAGAGCCATATATAACATAAAGAATAAAAACTCTCTCAGGGCCATATATAACATAAAGAATAAAAACACTCTCTCAGGGCCATATATAACATAAAGAATAAAAACACTCTTTCAGGGCCATATATAACATAAAGAATAAAAACACTCTTTCAGAGCCATATATAACATAAAGAATAAAAACACTCTTTCAGAGCCATATATAACATAAAGAATAAAAACACTCTTTCAGAGCCATATATAACATAAAGAATAAAAACACTCTTTCAGAGCCATATATAACATAAAGAATAACAACACTCTTTCAGAGCCATATATAACATAAAGAATAAAAACACTCTCTCAGAGCCATATATAACATAAAGCCATATATAAATAAAAACACTCTCTCAGAGCCATATATAACATAAAGAATAACAACACTCTTCAGAGCCATATATAACATAAAGAATAAAAACACTCTTTCAGAGCCATATATAACATAAAGAATATAAAAACACTCTTTCAGAGCCATATATAACATAAAGAATAAAAACACTCTCTCAGAGCCATATATAACATAAAGAATAACAACACTCTTTCAGAGCCATATATAACATAAAGAATAAAAACACTCTCTCAGAGCCATATATAACATAAAGAATAACAACACTCTTTCAGAGCCATATATAACATAAAGAATAAAAACACTCTTTCAGAGCCATATATAACATAAAGAATAAAAACACTCTTTCATAGCCATATATAACATAAAGAATAAAAACACTCATATATCATAAAGCCATATATATAACATAAAGAATAAAAACACTCTTTCAGAGCCATATATAACATAAAGAATAAAAACACTCTTTCATATATAACATAAAGCCATATATAACATAAAGAATAAAGAAGCCATATATAACATAAAGAATAAAAACACTCTTTCAGAGCCATATATATCATAAAGAATAAAAACACTCTTTCAGAGCCATATATAACATAAAGAATAAAAACACTCTTTCAGAGCCATATATAACATAAAGAATAAAAACACTCTCTCAGGGCCATATATAACATAAAGATATAAAAAACTCTTTCAGAGCCATATATAACATAAAGAATAAAAACACTCTTTCAGAGCCATATATAACATAAAGAATAAAAACACTCTTTCAGAGCCATATATAACATAAAGAGTAAAAACACTCTTTCAGAGCCATATATAACATAAAGAATAAAAACACTCTTTCAGAGCCATATATAACATAAAGAATAGCCATATATAACAGCCATATATAACATAAAGAATAAAAACACTCTTTCTCATTTCAGAGCCATATATAACATAAAGAATAAAAACACTCTCTCAGGGCCATATATAACATAAAGAATAAAAACACTCTCTCAGGGCCATATATAACATAAAGAATAAAAACACTCTTTCAGGGCCATATATAACATAAAGAATAAAAACATATATAACATAAAGAATAAAAACACTCTTTCAGAGCCATATATAACATAAAGAATAAAAACTCTCTTTCAGAGCCATATATAACATAAAGAATAAACACACTCTATCAGCTCAATATATAACATAAAGAATAAAAACACTCTTTCAGTGCCATATATAACATAAAGAATAAAAACACTCTTTCAGAGCCATATATAACATAAAGAATAAAAACACTCTTTCAGAGCCATATATAACATAAAGAATAAAAACACTCTTTCAGAGCCATATATAACATAAAGAATAAAAACTCTCTCAGGGCCATATATAACATAAAGAATAAAAACACTCTTTCAGGGCCATATATAACATAAAGAATAAAAACACTCTTTCAGAGCCATATATAACATAAAGAATAAAAAAACTCTCTCAGGGCCATATATAACATAAAGAATAAAAACACTCTTTCAGAGCCATATATAACATAAAGAATAAAAACACTCTTTCAGAGCCATATATAACATAAAGAATAAAAACACTCTGTCAGAGCCATATATAACATAAAGCCATATAATAAAAACACTCTTTCAGAGCCATATATAACATAAAGAATAAAAACACTCTTTCAGAGCCATATATAACATAAAGAATATAAAAACACTCTTTCAGAGCCATATATAACATAAAGAATAAAAACACTCTTTCAGAGCCATATATAACATAAAGAATAAAAACACTCTCTCAGGGCCATATATAACATAAAGAATAAAAACACTCTTTCAGAGCCATATATAACATAAAGAATAAAAACACTCTTTCAGAGCCATATATAACATAAAGAATAACAACAAAGCCATATATAACATAAAGAATAAAAACACTCTTTCAGAGCCATATATAACATAAAGAATAAAAAACACTCTTTAAGGGCCATATATAACATAAAGAATAAAAAACACTCTCTCAGGGCCATATATAACATAAAGAATAAAAAACACTCTTTCAGAGCCATATATAACATAAAGAATAAAAAACACTCTTTCAGGGCCATATATAACATAAAGAATAAAAACACTCTTTCAGAGCCATATATAACATAAAGAATAAAAACACTCTTTCAGGGCCATATATAAGGGCCATATATAACATAAAAAATAAAAACACTCTTTCAGAGCCATATATAACATAAAGAATAAAAACACTCTTTCAGAGCCATATATAACATAAAGAATAAAAACACTCTTTCAGAGCCATATATAACATAAAGAATAAAAAACACTCTTTCAGAGCCATATATAACATAAAGAATAAAAACACTCTTTCAGAGCCATATATAACATAAAGAATAACAACACTCTTTCTTAGCCATATTTGACATAAAAAACAACAACACTCTCTCTTAGCTATATATATTATAAAGAATAACAAAATTCTGTCTCAGAGTCTTCTTTAACATAAAATAGACATAGAAAATTGTCTGTCCTTTTTGTCAATAGAAAATTTTGTGTTCATTACAAAATATTTGACAAGTAACAATAAACAACTAGATACTTCATCCATAATCTTGACCAAATCAAATGATAATGCGACTCCTCACTTAAATCAATACCCTTTTTTATTTACTCTACAACGAAAATATTATTTATCAGTAAAGATGAAAAATCTTACAGAAACTTTGACATGTTACGAAAATTGACAATGAAAATTGTGTACTCATTTGACATTTGACCTTGGAGAAGAGGTCACTAATACCATTAGCAGTGCACAACTTTAGGTCTATAACTGATCATGGCACATTTATGCTTTAAGTTTTATCAGGAAAATTTAATAATCATAGCCCTGACAAAAATGTACTTTGAAAATGTCCACTTATTTTGACCTTTGACCTTGAACTTAAGGTCCCAATGACCTAATTTCAGAGCAATACACATGACCTGTGGGTGATGAAGATCTATTCAAAGTTTCATCATCACAAATATCTCTAATGGTTCAGAGTCATTTACCGGCTCCTCGTGCAGACTTGTGAAGGGCTGAGACCAAATTACCTCAATGATGATTTAATTAAGTCTGTACAATGTCATGTTTGGTTGTGCTGTGATAACTATTTTGTTTCCATTGTTCCGACCAAATTACACAATAGTAAACTCTACAATCAGTTCACCTGATTATTTCTTTTATTTTCTTTCGACAGCGAAAGAAATCATGTAAAAATTTTATACATATTACAAACATATATGTACAAGTATAAAAACGAAATTATATTGCATGTGTCATCATTATGCTGAGCCACATAGATCTATATAATTAGAGTTAATAATCAGAAATATCTTTACATAACTTATAGTTACTTAAAGTTGTGATTCCATATTGCAGGAACTACTGTTCCTATTTACTGTATTCAATATTTGCTTCCAGGGTAGTACTACTGTCATACTGTCATAAATGTACAACACATATCACAAGTCTAATGTCTTATAATTATTCTTTTTTTTTTTTAAGTTTTCATCACCCCGCATTACTCATTTTGCTGTAAAGTCTCTTTGTATTAACTAGTGGCTGATTCAATGAACACCAGCCCAGGGACACAACCAGGAGAGCACAGTGTGGTCCTATATTCAGCTTCCTGAGAAACAGTTCAACAACCAGTTACCACCATGGGTATTGAGCCTCGAACCACACACTTCATCTGAGGTTGCGTAAGCCAATTAGTATTTTACCATCTGGACTGTATCGCAGCTCTCTATTTATTCAAGTGATTTTTATATCTGGCACAGCCTTTCAGCAGTGGTCATTATATAGCTGTATATACCAGGGAAGTCCCTGTATATACGTATATATACACATGTACTGAAAACAGTGCATCTATACCTGATAATTATATCCACTCTGCACTAAATGTTAATCAAGTAAACACAATGGTTTACATCTATTGTAGAGAGTTCACTAATACCTTGACCAGCTATTTGACAGCAATATATGCCTCAGTACCACCACAGGGCATCACTGACCTGCAGGTCAACAACGTAATACAATACATGTATTATGTAAGGGAACTTCCCGTAGACGTGCTTATTTTCGCTTATTTTCATGTTTCAAGCAGCAACATGTTGTTTGTCGCTTCTATGTGTTTATTGAGATCCGTTGATTAACCCGAGTACAAAACGGAAGGATACCACAACCTATAGACTGATCTACATATAAATGTCAAACACCAGTGCTGTCAATAGAGCAACGGACGAGTAAACACGGATACTGTCATGTCTCGATCTCGGGACCTCGAACACTAACTTACCCAGGTAAGGCTTGTCCAGATCCCTTGACTGCATCAGTATTCAACACCTGAACCTCTTCTTCTTTTTGTGGTGTTGTTTGTGCTTTCACAGGAGACGATTTCCTCTGTCGTGTGTTTGACATTTTGTGTATAAACCTATTCTTTGTACTCCGACCTAAACCAGGACTCAGGTAAATGAGGCTTCATTACGAGTTTTCTCATTGGTCGACGCTTTTGCTGACCAATCATCTATTGCGTTATAAACACTCTCGAAAATTGTAAACACAAGAACACGTGCTTGTGCTTGTCAAAAAATATTTTTTTGTTGCAAGAAACCAAATTGAAAGAGAAACGCTGAATATTGCTGTTAAATACAAAAATTTGATTTATTAAAGTAGGTTAAATCTTCATAGATTGTTTCGCAAATTTTCTTTTTGTTCCACAACTACATTCATCATGCAAAATAGTATTATCAACCGTACACGAACGCACCCACTAAAAATCCGCGAGGAAGTGAGGCAGCAAACATGGACTACTTATGGTAAGACTGGATGATTTTGCTGTCTTTGCAAGATACAAGTCTGGATTATGATCATATATATTTTCTTTGAATCTTTCATATAACACATATCATGTTGCTTCTGAAAGCCAACATATTAATTGCGACCCTCAGTACGCGCTTGTTTCTGGAACGTTCCTTAGACTCAATATGAGAATTTTTTTAAAAATTAGTTAAGAAAATTGACATTAAGAAGGGATTTTCATCAAAACTCTCATCATTCCTTAAATGCACAAAGTTAATTTTACGAATGTTCTTCAAAGTATTGATTGAATATTAATCCCAAAGGCTAGACATTGTATAGGGTCCGTATCGATGTAAAACAGCATCGTTTTAAAAATAACCCAAGTTAAAATGGTCAGAATGGGGGCTCCTGCTCATAGATGTACGTAGGGCACTGTAGGGACACAGCAGGGTTCCATTTCTGATTATCAGAACACTGCAGTACACTCTGGATACCCAGGGAAACTGTACCATGGAGTATTACCATTGATTTTCTCATTAATTTGTGCATACTGACACCTCAGGAGGTCTGAGGGACGAAGGGAGCCACAGCTTCTCGCACTTCTATGACCAAATGTTAAACAAATTGTAGCTGAATTGACTAAAGTACAGTTACCATCATTTGTATTCTTTGGTCAATGATTGATTTGGCATCTTGGCACTGTTTTTGACCTTAGCAGACATTGGATCGTAGTACTGCAGAAAAAGTTGGTTGATACACTTCCAGTACTATCCTCAATCACTGTTTATAACTGTATGTGTTCCAGTACACATGTAGGTGTACATTAGTACCTGTGCTGTTTATAACTGTATGTGTTCCAGTACACATGTAGGTGTACATTAGTACCTGTGCTGTTTATAACTGTATGTGTTCCAGTACACATGTAGGTGTACATTAGTACCTGTGCTGTTTATAACTGTATGTGTTCCAGTACACATGTAGGTGTACATTAGTACCTGTGCTGTTTATAACTGTATGTGTTCCAGTACACATGTAGGTGTACATTAGTACCTGTGCTGTTTATAACTGTATGTGTTCCAGTACACACGTAGGTGTACATTAGTACCTGTGCTGTTTATAACTGTATGTGTTCCAGTACACATGTAGGTGTACATTAGTACCTGTGCTGTTTATAACTGTATGTGTTCCAGTACACATGTAGGTGTACATTAGTACCTGTGCTGTTTATAACTGTATGTGTTCCAGTACACATGTAGGTGTACATTAGTACCTGTGCTGTTTATTACTGTATGTGTTCCAGTACACATGTAGGTGTACATTAGTACCTGTGCTGTTTATAACTGTATGTGTTCCAGTACACATGTAGGTGTACATTAGTACCTGTGCTGTGCTGTGTTATACACATGTAGGTGTACATTAGTACCTGTTCCCAGTACACATGTAGGTGTACATTAGTACCTGTGCTGTTTATTACTGTATGTGTTCTGGTATGCATGTAGGTGTACATTAGTACCTGTGCTGTTTATTACTGTATATGTTCCAGTACACATGTAGGTGTACATTAGTACCTGTGCTGTTTATAACTGTATGTGTTCCAGTACACATGTAGGTGTACATTAGTACCTGTGCTGTTTATAACTGTATGTGTTCCAGTACACATGTAGGTGTACATTAGTACCTGTGCTGTTTATGTGTTCCAGTACTGTATGTGTTCTAGTACACATGTAGGTGTACATTAGTACCTGTGCTGTTTATAACTGTATGTGTTCCAGTACACATGTAGGTGTACATTAGTACCTGTGCTGTTTATTACTGTATGTGTTCCAGTACACATGTAGGTGTACATTAGTACCTGTGCTGTTTATTACTGTATGTGTTCCAGTACACATGTAGGTGTACATTAGTACCTGTGCTGTTTATAACTGTATGTGTTCCAGTACACATGTAGGTGTACATTAGGCACCTATTTGGGTTATTTATGCTGTTACTTTATAGAATTGATAGTTATTTGTATATGTGTATATCACCATTTGTGAAATAGTAGAATTGCCAGAAATTTGTTGGGTTTTTTTTTCATAAAAAAACCACACAATTAGCACAGTTCTTTTATTTGTGTTTGATGTTATGAGTGTGCAAATTCAATACATAAAGATGTTTTGAAAAAAAATTTCAGGTACATATTTGCAGTGCCAGTAACATTTTTCTTTGGGATCTACATTCTGTTGCCTGTTGTTGTGATACTTAACCCATGGCTCCAGACCAGCATAGTGTTCCTTCACTATGGTGAGTACCATATCGTTATTCAATTATTTGTTCTAACAGTGATAAAGCTTATTCTTAATAGTATCTAATTGCATTCCTTTTTCATTGTTACAGTAAAAGCGCCATTTGTGGATTACACCAAACCAAAAAACCTTGGTTACAAAAATTTAAAAAGTGGCAGGTGTTTCCATCTGTCTGTGGCGAAAGATGTGAAGATTGGTGTATGGTATGTATGTTTGATGAACAATAGCTTACTTACCTAATAGACAACTCACAATCATAGAGATGATCACCATTTGTGATGGCTACATGTGTACTTAGGCCTTCTTTTTTAACAAGAGTCCACTGGTCACCCTATTTATTATTATTTGACTTTATTGTGCTGACTGTGACTGTCATAAGTTTCTAACTGTGTAAATCTCTAACCATTTTTTGGAATAAATTATACCTGCTAAAATTAAAGGCTAATTTATATATCTATATATATAATGATTCAAGTCTGGTTCCAAATTATATGAACAGGTTGTAACAAAACAACAACCTTACAACTGGAAAGAATAAAACCTACAATTAGACATTTACTCTAATTGAAAACATACATAAAGAATCTATGCATGGAAGATGTAGAAATCATCACAGCCCTGCTCAGTAATACATCACAGATACATCATGTATATTATTTAATTTAATTGAATATGTGTATATATGTAAATTAGCATTATAATTAAGTATATATATATATGTAAATAAACAATTGATCTGGAGTCATGAGACAAAATATGCTTGGACAATGGTGTAAATAAAAAAATGAAATAATATGTAAACAATGCACTTCTGTAAAACCGTATGATAGAAAATATTGTTAAACAAAATCTATTCATGAAATAGACAATTGATCGTAACAAACACCCAGCACAATGGTGTCATGTTGAGAATATGTAGATCTTGCTTTGATAAAAGAATTATGAATCTATCAGTTTATCATGTATGTATGTTTGCTGGTAATTTAGGCATATCCTGCCAGAGAGTGTCCCGGAGCCAGAGCAAGAAGAAGATTATGTCCATTCATTAAAGGATGGAAAACCAATATTTATATATCTTCATGGAACTGCAGCCACCAGGTAGGTTTCAACGCTATGTCTCAGCTTCTGACAGTCTTGCTCTGGACCTCGTGTGGTAGCCTTATCCTGACAATCTCTATCTGACAATCTAGTTCTGAAACATCATTTGATAGTGTTGCCCTCACAATTTCTATCTTCCAATCTATAGCTACTTCTCTTCTCCTGAACTTCTTACAATGGTGTTGCCAGTACAATTTCTATCTGACATTCTAATTCTGAACATCCTATGATGGTGTTGCCAGGACAAACTCTATCTGACAATCACATTCGGAACCTCTTGCGATGGTGTTGTCATGGCAATTTGTATCTGATGATCTAATTCTGAACCTCCTGTGATGATGTTGACATGAAAATCTCTTACAATCTAATTCTGAAGCTTTTGTAGTGGTATTATCATGCAATTTCTATCTGAAAATCTAATTCTGAACCTTTTTGGTGGTCAGGATAATCTCTATTGAAGATGCCCACCATACTACATTTAAAATGATTACTATGGTGGCAATCATGAAACTTTTATTTGCTACTTTTTCTCAACAGAAAATGATTAATAAAGCATATGATATGATTTTGCATCTCATTTTTAGCTCACCTGGCCCAAAGGGGTAATAGAGCAATTTAAAAAAAAAATCTTACTCCTATTGTAGGAATGAATGGATAATTCCCAAATTTAGTCTGAAATATTCTTGGGTGAAGTGAAATCAATTGTGTATAAACAGTAGATTCTGGCCTCCTGGTTGGGAGGGGCGAGGTTAGGGTTGGTTCTCAGTTCCTAGGGGCCGTAGGGGCAGTGCTCAAAAGGGGAAATTTTGCATGTGCTTTAAAATCTTACTCCTCCTATATGAATAAATTGATATTGCCCAAATTTGGTGTGAAGTACTTCTGGGTGAAGGGGACTAAGTTCTGTATAAATGGTGTATCCTAGCTCCCTAGGGCGGGATGGATGGGTCCAATATGGGAAATTTAAGTCTTAAAAGTCCTTCTTCCATACAAGGATATTGTCCAAGTTTGGTCTGAAGAATTTTTCATGAATAGTGAATCAGACCTCTGTTTGACCACAAGGGTGGGAACCAATCAGGAAATTTTATCAGAAATTGTTTGTTTTAAATTATTAAATAACTAAATAGATAAATTAGCCACATGAGCAATGCAGGCCCCTTGGACTTCTTGTTCATTTTGGCTAACAGAACAGAAGTGTCTAATTTTGGCAACCTCATCCTGATAGCCTCAAATCCATCAATGATTACCCATGTTCTAATCAGTCTAATGTACCTAACATGAAAGTTTTCATCCTGGCCATTAGTAGCAATTACTATTAAATCATGTATTAAATGTGATTGATTTTTCAGAGCTCACACACCTAGAGTAAACATGTTAAAGCGCCTTTCTTCCATGGACAATCATGTCTTCTCTATAGATTACAGAGGTAAATGTTTTTATCTGTCAGCTGGTGTGGATGTTTTACAGTGTCTGTCAGCTGGTGTGGATGTGTTACAGTGTCTGTCAGCTGGTGTGGATGTGTTACAGTGTCTGTCAGCTGGTGTGGATGTGTTACAGTGTCTGTCAGCTGGTGTGGATGTTTTACAGTGTCTGTCAGCTGGTGTGGATGTGTTACAGTGTCTGTCAGCTGGTGTGGATGTTTTACAGTGTCTGTCAGCTGGTGTGGATGTTTTACAGTGTCTGTCAGCTGGTGTGGATGTGTTACAGTGTCTGTCAGCTGGTGTGGATGTTTTACAGTGTCTGTCAGCTGGTGTGGATGTGTTACAGTGTCTGTCAGCTGGTGTGGATGTGTTACAGTGTTTGTCAGTTGTTGTGAATATTTCACTCTGTCTGTCAGGTGATGTGAATGTGTTACTATGTCTGTCAGCTGGTGTGAATGCGTTACTATGTCTGTCAGCTGGTGTGAACGTGTTACTGTTTCTGTCAGCTGGTGTGATTGTGTTACTTGTTACTATGTCTGTCAGCTGGTGTGAATGTGTTACTATGTCTGTCAGCTGGTGTGAATGTGTTACTATGTCTGTTAGCTGGTGTGATTGTGTTACTTGTTACTATGTCTGTCAGATGGTGTGAATGTGTTACTATGTCTGTCAGCTCGTGTGAATATTTCACTATGTATGTCAGCTGGTGTGAATTTGTTACTCTGTCTGTCAACTGGTGTGAATTTGTTACTATGTGGTTTCAGCTGGTGTGAACGTGTCACTATGTCTGTCAGCTAATATGAATGAATTTCGGAGACAGATGTCAACCATGTACATGTATACAATTTTTCCACAATATTGATATATGTTATCTAGTTAAGTTAATTTACCAAAGTAAGAATACATGTAAACCTCTGTTGTAGGATTTGCAGACTCCTCAGGGATTCCAACTGAAGAGGGTGTGGTAGAGGATGCACTCTCTATGTACAAATGGGTCCAATCATGCTGTGGTGATTCTCCAATTATCATATGGGGCCATTCACTGGGGACAGGGTAGGTACTGGAATATCTCGGGCCATTCACTAAGGACAGGGTAGGTACTGGAATATCTGGGGCCGTTCACTAGGGACAGGGTAGGTACTGGAATATCTGGGGCCATTCACTTGGGACAGAGAAGCTACTGGAATATCTGGGGCCATTCACTAGGGACAGGGTAGGTACTGGAATATGTGGGGCCATTCACTAGGGACAGGGTAGGTACTGGAATATCTGGGGCCACTCACTAGGGACAGGGTGGGTACTGGAATATTTGGGGCCATTCACTAGGGACAGGGTAGGTTCTGGAATATCTGGGGCCATTCACTAGGGACAGGGTAGGTACTGGAATATCTGGGGCCATTCACTAGGGACAGGGTAGGTTCTGGAATATCTGGGGCCATTCACTAGGGACAGGGTAGGTTCTGGAATATCTGGGGTCATTCACTAGGGACAGGGTAGGTACTAGAATATCTGGGGCCATTCACTAGGGACAGGGTAGGTACTGGAATATCTGGGGCCATTCACTAGGGACAGGGTAGGTACTGGAATATCTGGGGCCATTCACTAGGGACAGGGTAGGTTCTGGAATATCTGGGGCCATTCACTAGGGATAGGGTAGGTACTGGAATATCTGGGGCCATTCACTAGGGACAGGGTAGGTACTGGAATATGTGGGGCCATTCACTCGTGACAGAGAAGGTACTGGAATATCTGGAGCCATTCACTAGGGACAGGGTAGGTACTGGAATATGTGGGGCCATTCACTAGGGACGGGGTAGGTACTGGAATATGTTGGGCCATTCACGAGGGACAAGGTAGGTTCTGGAATATCTGGAGCCATTCACTAGGGACGGGGTAGGTACTGGAATATCTGGGGCCATTCACTAGGGACAGGGTGGGTACTGGAATATCTGGGGCCACTCACTAGGGACAGGGTAGGTACTGGAATATCTGAGGCCGTTCACTAAGGAGGGGGTAGATAATGAAACATCTTGGGTGATTCGCTAGGGACAGAGTAGGTACTGAAACATAATAGGTTATTCACTACAGACAGGTAGATACTGCAACATCTTAGGTTATTTTCTACAGACAGGTAGGTATTGGAACATCTGGGACTATTTTGCTAGGGACAGAGTAGGTACTTGAACATCTGGGGCCAATCATGAGGGACAGAGTAGGTACTGACACATCTGGGGCCAATCATGAGGGACAGAGTAGGTAAAGGAAGACATGGAACTGTGGAGGTAAAATCTGTGCCCTCTCACTTGGAACTTTGTGTGGGTAAAATATTGGGTCACTCTCAAGAGATTGTGTAGATGAAATTTGAAGTCACTCCTATGAAATGTTTTTTAAAAGTTTGGATTACTCCTCATGAATTTGGTAATACATAACAAACATCTATATTACATTTCTCCTATTCAGCAGGGATTTGTTAATTTAGATATATGACATATTTTACAGAGTGGCTACTTTGTTGGTGAGACAGTTGTGTAATACAAGTAAGTAAAACTCTTTTCTTTGTAATATTGACTACAGTTATCCCCCTTTATCAGATCCTGTGGCCTCTATTAAACTGCAATGCTTTTTGGATATGTTTACTTGTAACTAATAGAATCAATAGGGAAGAAGAAAGTCAATTTTATACTTAAGCCTCATCTGGGCTTTTCACTATCTGTGGCCATCAAATTATCTAGCGTAAAAACAACTGTAGTTGTGAGTCTGTGTTTATGCCATCCTGAACTTTTATAATCCTGAACTTTTAAAACCAGGTCTTCATTGATGGCACATTGTTAATGGCACAGTGCTCTTAACATGGTCGTTTGTTTATTTAGAATACACCTGACCCTGTATTATATAAAGAATTGAGAAGAGGGTACAATTACTTGAGGCATTATGATTCAACATGAAAAATTACTCAGATGGCACACTGCTTCTAAATTGAATTCTTCCTTCATAGATCAAAAATTAGCTGGTCTTGTCCTTGAATCGCCATTCAACAATCTTCGAGAGGCAGCTAGTCAACACCCTCTGTCACTGGTGAGTACAGACTAAACCTGTCTAGGGAGAATCATCTCCAGCAAAATTGTCACCATGACAGGAGTGACAAGTGTATGGGTATGGTGGAAACTTATGTTTTTGTTTCTGCCATGACCATGGCCACTTGTGTTTGGGGATGGTGGAAATTTATGTCAATCTGTTGCTAGGTGACTGAAGCCACCAGTGTTTGGGGATGGTGGAAATTTATGTCAATCTGTTGCTAGGTGACTGAAGCCACCAGTGTTTGGGGATGGTGGACACTTGTGTCTTTGTGTCAGCCATGACCAGAGTCACTAGTGTTTGGGGATGGTGGACACTTATGTCTTTGTGTCAGCCATGACCAGAGTCACGAGTGTTTGGGGATGGTGGAAATTTATGTCAATCTGTTGCTAGGTGACTGAAGCCACCAGTGTTTGGGGATGGTGGACACTTATGTCAGTCTGTTGCTAGGTGACTGAAGCCACCAGTGTTTGGGGATGGTGGACACTTATGTCAGTCTGTTGCTAGGTGACTGAAGCCACCAGTGTTTGGGTATTGGTAGAAACTTATGCCTGTGGGTCTATAATGTAACCAGAACCACCAGTATTTTAAGATAACTGGAACATTTTGTTTATGTGTCTGACATGACTGATGCCACCAGTGTTTTAGGACAGCGGGAACATAAATCTGTGGATCTTCACAATTATGCTTTATATCACCACAAAATTTCACACATAGTCAAACCTTCACTTAATGTTGGAAAAGATTTCATAGTTTTCATAGATTTCAAGTTTCTTTATGTGTTCATTTAAACTTAGGTCCATACTATATAGTTCTCTACAGATTTGCCTTGGTGGTCACATATCTAGTGTTAAAGGAAGACAAAGTCAAAGTTAAATAGTGCAAGAAATTGATTTATATGGTAATTTTATTTGAATGCTATTATCCAATTAGTCAATTAATGCATGATACTCTTGATTGCACTACAATCAGATTAACTTGTTATTTTGTTATGTTTTTCTATGAGGACATTGGCTAAGAATAAACAAACGTGTGTGTGGTAAGGATTTGAAGTTTGACTTTGTATACTGGTACATGTAATATCATTAGGTAGATGTTATGGGGAATACCAACATTTTGTTATATCAGCATCAAACTCATTTCATGTAGAATTAGTTAAGTTTGGTTATAGTGATACCAAATATATTACAATACTGTAATCTTTTTTATTGTCTTGTCTTATTTTCAACACAGATGCAAAATTTATTGTTTCACTGTGCTGGCTATATCTTATATTCCTTATCCTTGTTAGATTTTTAAGTGTGAAGTTACAAAAAAATATATTAGTTTTGTCTCTGTTTCAGCCATTTAGGTTCTTGCCTTGGTTTGAGAGAGCCTTCCTGGACACTGCTGCTCAAGTCAACATCAACTTTGAAAGTGATAAACAGTAAGTGCTGACAACAATGCTAGGTCTGTATTTCAGTATTACGTAATCATTAACATAGAAGACAGAAAATCAAAATGATTGAAAGAATTAATTAGGTCACCTGGCTTTGTCACAGGGCTGTAGATAGGCCCCAAAAAAGTCAGAGAGCTGAACTTTTCCTAAAAGTTGCAGATCTTTATGGGAGCTGTAGGGCCATATTCATATTGTTCAAATTATTTTAAACTTTTTCTTCAAAGTTCATTTTTTAAATTTTGACCAAATGTAACTTAAATAAAAACTTAGATGGGAATGAAGTAGCTGACCTTCTGAGCCTCTTGCTTGAGCTTTGGTTGTCCCCAGCATTACTTGCTTTAAGATTTTTATGAGTGGTTACATGTATTTGTATACCCCATCCTCCCTTCAGTGCTCTTTAACATTCAAAGTATATAGTACCTATCTTTGTAACAATATAGCACACATGTGTAACAGTATTTATTATAATACTATGTACCTATCTTTGTTACAGTATAACAGTTGTGTAACAGTATTTATTATAATACTAATTACCTATCTTTGTTACAGTATAGCACCTGTGTGTAACAGTATTTATTATAATACCATGTACCTATCTTTGTTACAGTATAACAGTTGTGTAACAGTATTTATTATAATACTATGTACCTATCTTTGTTACAGTATAGCACCTGTGTGTAACAGTATTTATTATAATACTATGTACCGATCTTTGTTACAGTATAACAGTTGTGTAACAGTATTTATTATAATACTAAGTACCCATCTTTGTTACAGTATAGCACATGTTACGGTACCCATCATGATTGTACACTCCAAAGATGACAATGATGTACCTATTGACCTAGGAAGGAAGGTACTTACATTATATAGCTTTGTAGTGTGCTGTTTTGTTTCCTTCACTGGGACCTTTGTTCTTAATATCACAATGAAGGAGATAGAAATACTCATTTTGTATAGGCACTTTTACTACCTATCTACTTGGTGGAAGAAAATATTTCAACACTCAGAATATATTGTACCTACTAACTAAGTGAAATAAAGATTAAGATTTACACCATGAAAATCAAATCATGTTTACCCACTTAAATGAATAACAGTAGGACTTTGTGTTAACCTTCATTTGTTGAAAACCTTGTTAAATTTTGAATAAAAATATAAATCGTAGGCTTGATGATTTGTCAGCATTTTATTTAGTCAAACTGTCAGTGCAGATTGGAACAGGATTCTATTGATATCTGTGTTGAATTGTACATTGACAGTTATATGAAGCAGCTGTGAAGAGTCGACCTGAAGATGCTGGACCTATTCAGTTTTATGCTCTGAACAAGTGTGGCCATATCAACATCAGTCAGGCTCCAGAATTTCCTCACGTTGTCAGGTAAATATTGTGTGTCTTTATAATAATGTATGTGTAAGGTTAATATCAGGCCAGTTTTCATTATGTATATCTTGTCCTGTTTTCCTGTTGTTATTCTGTTGTGTTAACCTACTGACACACCCTGATGTTATCCTGTTGTTATTCTGTTGTGTTAACCTACTGACACACCCTGATGTTATCCTGTTGTTATTCTGTTGTGTTAACCTACTGACACACCCTGATGTTATCCTGTTGTTATTCTGTTGTGTTAACCTACTGACACACCCTGATGTTATCCTGTTGTTATTCTGTTGTGTTAACCTACTGACACACCCTGATGTTATCCTGTTGTTATTCTGTTGTGTTAACCTACTGACACACCCTGATGTTATCCTGTTGTTCTGTTGTGTTAACCTACTGACACACCCTGATGTTATCCTGTTGTTGTTCTGTTGTGTTAACCTACTGACACACCCTGATGTTATCCTGTTGTTGTTCTGTTGTGTTAACCTACTGACACACCCTGATGTTATCTTGTTGTTGTTCTGTTGTGGGAACCTAATGACACACCCTGATGTTAACCTGTTGTTGTTCTGTTGTAGGAAATTTCTAAAGACCTGTGGGTGTGGTGACTCGTCAGTCTATGATAAGGACTACTGTGACACAGATATAGATTGGAAGGAGCTTAGTCTCGGAACATTGAACCTCTGGACTAACAATAAGGAAAAGTGATAGGTTACAATGATGACGTATCTTTAGAGCTTTGTAGAGATTTGATACAAAATCATTTACATTCATAATGAAATTTGTTGAAGCTAACTTAAGTTTAAGGTGAGAGTTTCTAATTTTTTCCACTCTTTTGAGAATATTAATAAAGAAAATCACAATGGTTTAGTATCAGTGTGTGAATACTAAAAATTAAATGAATTTGAGCTGTTAATTTTAGATAAGAAAATTGAAAAATTGAAATTGTTGCATAAACAAAAAAATATTCTCTCCCATAAAAGCTTTTAAAATTACTTAGTAAAAAAAAAATATCGAAATGAATTTTTTATTTGATTAATTTGTGTTGTGGCTGTTGTTATTTTAAAGGTCACAATCTTTTGATTAGTCAGAGTGTTGACCAGTGTAACTCAGGTAAAGATCTCAGGTCCAGGGTTTGATGTTCCATACCTGCGCAGTTTGTGTTTCTCCAGAAGCTGAGAAACTGGCTGGTCTATGCTGGCATGGTTGTGTAATTGGGCAGCACACTTTACCCTTATTGCTCTGGATGGTATGTGAGGGGTGTGTCATGTGTTGTTCTGTGACGTAGCCACCAGCTATGGAGACCCTGCCTTAGAATGACTCAGCAAGCAAACAATTTTAAGATATGATAGTGATTTCTATGTGATTTAACTGTGTTATGGAGATTTACAGTATTACTTAGATAAGTTTAATGTTACATTGTCATATCTATACATTCCAAGGAGTGAAGAATATGATCTTGTTAATAGTTTAAAGCCGGTGTGTTCTTGTGTTGGCTTTGTGGTGAACTATTATCAGAACGCTGCATTGTTATGTCATGGATATTTGTGTACACAGAAATTGTAAATATCATAAACAATATACAACAACACAATTTATGTATGTACATAAGTGGTTAACATCTGTAGGTAGATTTGCGGATTGTCTGTTGAAAGGCCAAAAGGCGGAAATAGTGGACGTAAAACCTGTTAAATAAATAGATAAATAAAAGTAGAATTATGACATTGATTTTACTGTTGGATGTTATTTAGAAATAGATTGAGTTTATTGTTAAATATGTACAAAAAACAATCACATTCAAATGTTTAATTAACATGGGAAAAGGTGTAGAACATTCGTTCATTAAACGTCTGGAGAAGGTGTGGTAGCTTGAGTCCCAGTGTGTAGGCAGGAAACTTTTTATTACTCTTTATCATTACACAAGGGCTGGTGATGTAGAGATGTATCATTGAAGGTTATTCCTACTGTTGTTATTTACAAGTTTTAATGTCATATTATTGTTTTGTTTGTTATTATCCAAACTTGCTTAAGTCTGTTTATACTGCTTGATACACATTATCTGGTCTGTGTGTTGTATAGACACATTACTGCAGCATTGATCTGTCATTTTACTGTTACTTTTTTACTATGAGTTATATTTATTGTCAATTTTACATATACTTGATGCTTATGTATCCTAAAGAATGGTGGAGCTAAATCAAAGAGCTAGTCATATAACTTATATTACCATCTTATTTGTCATAGTTACAAGTATGGCAAAACTACATTTAGTATATAAACAATATTTTAATGGCATTTAATCAGTAGCAGTATTAATGTTTGATATTGTGTGTAGAAATTCAGAGTGGTTAAAAAAATTACAAAAAGCAAGGAACTGCAGATGTGATCAGCTTTGAACAACTTGGATGCTGGTCCTCTTCTTACAAAACAAATAGAAAACTTCTGACCACATTATTGTCTAAAAAATTATCTACAAAATATCCTTTCAAGCTTTAATGAAAACATACTGAAAATCTTCAGAGATCCAAAGTTATTTAACTTATCTATCAACAATTTGAAATGTTTGTTGCCAACAACTTAATGAAAAATTGAAATTTTAACCAATCAGAATAAGAGGACATCAGATTTGCTGTTTACTTGAATTTTGATTGGAGGCAATCAGAAATCTTTTGTCACTTCCCAGTACATGTAACAAGAGATATTAGTCACATGGAGGAAGGTAGTTTAGGGGCATTAGAAGTATCATGTAATGAAGAATCCCATTTGTTTTAAATAGTGCTTGAATTTACTGAAATATGATTATTTCTATTTTTATGATTTTTTTAAAAAATGATGTATAAGACAGTTCCAAAAGATAATCAAATGTGCATCAAATAGTGCTTGCTTTTAGATAGTGACTATTTCTTAGAGGTTATGATGGTGTGAAATAGGTGTTGTTGGAGATGCTTTTCTTCCTCATACACAAGGATATGTGCTACCTTATTAGGAGGTAGTGTTGGAGACTAAAAGAAGGAGACTCTGATGAGAATCTATATATTAACTACATATTATGTTATATGTACATTGAACTGTAGAGAGATTAAAATACGAAATATCTTCATCATAGTGTGATGTCATTTACTACCGAACATTGAACATTAAGATTGAAAATCAAAATGTCTATCATGGTACAATGTCCGTCCATTATGATAATTGAGCTGTTAACATATCTGACAGGTTTACACAGGAATCAAGTAATACAAACAATATTAAGTGTTAGAAATTTGTGATGTGTATGTAAATGTACTTTGAAGTGTATGGTATGATATGTACTAAATATGATGAAAAAAATAGAAAAAAAAGTATTATTTCAATATTTGAAAAATGATATGAAATCAAGTGTTGTTTCATTATAAGGCTGTTTACTTATTTTTTCCTGTGTGTAATGGCAGAAAATAACCAACACAATTAATTTTAGAAAAATTGATAATAGTTAAATGAAATCATGTAATAATTGACTTTTTAGATCACCTGCGACAAAGTCTCAGGGTGACCTATTGTAATCATCACCTTTTGTTCAGAGTTGTGCATGGTAAACTTTTAACATTTTTTACTTCTTCTGAAAAACTCCTGAACTGATTCAGTTAACTTTGGTAAAGTTTGCAAAATCTTTCCATGGCTATAGATGCACCAAACCTGTAAACCCCCAGTGGCCTGAGGGGCGGGGCAAAAAACAAGTCTAAATTGATTGAACAAAAATTTTTTTTTCGAATCCCAGGTATGGTAGAACCAAATACAATTCATGTATGGCAGTGTCTTATGGTGCTTTACCAAAATTGTAAATTTCATGACCTCTGGTCTCACATTTCCCCTTTGGGAGTGGGTAAAAATTTAAAAATTACTGTCCGTAGTTAATATAGGAAAATTACATATTTTTAAAAATTTTCTTACATAAATAGTTCAAACTTGGTTAGAATTATTAGTATATGCTGACAGTTTGATGAGATGCACATATTGGCCACGGCTGACACCCAGGGGCTGATGGGCGGTTCAAAAATTGGTCAAATTGACTGAAATTTCAAATATGTCCCACTGTTCATTGATGGAATACTTTATATGGGAAAATTCAATTTTTGGGTTTAATTCCTTTCAATTCAAACTTGATTAGAAGCCTTAGCATGGGACAGCAGTTAATGTTATGCCCAGTTAACAGTTACATTATGTGTAATTAAAGTTATCTTAGTTTTTTAACAAAATCATTTCTATGACATGGGCTGAAATCCAGTACTAGTATCCTAACCTTTGAATACTCATCACTAAAGGTTACATGTTTACTTATACAGTAGTTTGTCTCCTTATTGTCCTATCAATGTCAACAAAATATGCTCAATTTTTTGTTTACAAATCATTCTTTACCAATGATATGAGATGAAAAGACTCCTGGTTATGTTGAAGGTCAAATGGAACATTAAGTATGAAATATTAATGTACATAAGCACTGAAGGACTTACTAAAGTTTTCTTGATAACATTATAACATACCATGTTATCAGTGATAATATCTCCTTCTGTCAGTTACTGTGTAAATGGATTTTCTTTTTATTAAACTTCAGATGGAATAAATGTTGATGTACATATTGATGTTTTTTGCACCTGTCCTACATCTGTTTTGTACATTAAACTGATTTAATGCGATATTAAGAGGTATTTTCTTCTGTCAATAAAGGTACCTGTATGGTATAAAACAACAAGACTTATTGATGCTTTACATTGCACATTGAAATTCCTCTTAGATTTGCTGTGATAACAAAAAAAAATCTGTCTTGATATGAAGTTCTAGTTCCCCTTGGTACCAGTGCTGACAGACAGGACTGACCCCTGACCAGTTCTCCTTGGTACCAGTGCTGACAGACAGGACTGACCCCTGACCAGTTCTCCTTGGTACCAGTGCTGACAGACAGGACTGACCCCTGACAAGTTCCCCTTGGTATCAGTGCTGACAGACAGGACTGACCCCTGACCAGTTCTCCTTGGTACAAGTGGTAACAGACAGGACTGACCCCTGACCAGTTCTCCTTGGTACCAGTGCTGACAGACACGACTACCCCTGACCAGTTCCCCTTGGTACCAGTGCTGACAGACAAAACTGATCCCTGACCAGTTCCCCTTGGTACCAGTGCTGACAGACATGACTACCCCTGATCAGTTCCCCTTGGTACCAGTGCTGACAGACACGACTACCCCTGACCAGTTCCCCTTGGTACCAGTGCTAACAGAGAGGACTGACCCTTGGCCAGTTCCCCTTGGTACCAGTGCTGACAGACAAGACTGACCCCTGACCAGTTCCCCTAGATACCAGTGCTGACAGACAGGACTGACCCCTGACCAGTTCCCCTTGGTACCAGTGCTGACAGACAGAACTGACCCCTGACTCAGCTCTCTTTCGTATCAGTGCTATCAGATAGGGCCTGACTAATTCGAAATGATGCTGATGTTGGCAAATATGACAAAAGACATTCACTCTAATCATCATTACATTTACTTGCTTCTCTATCACTTATTGGCCAGTAAGCTTCAAATTACCTAATGATGCATTTTATTATGGGCTGCAAGATATAGATTCTAAATGGCCTCTTTTGTATGATTAAGGCCCCACATCGAAAATGCATGTGCTCTATAATTGGCTTGTCCATCCATTCTTTCTCAAGTTCAGTTAAGCCATTTGCACTCAAAACTTTGGGTATACTCAAAACTTCTTTAAAGGAAATGCCTGGGTGGGAATGATTTCTTTGTCCAAAGGACAAAGGTTAAAGTCACCTCACTCTCAGTTCTATTTCGATGATCACACTTGGACTTTACACATTGTTTCTTAACATGAAGTGCTAGCTCTCAATTACATTTGCTGTTCAAAGGTCAAAACTCAAGGTTGAAACTGTAAGTAGAAATGGGAAATATACCGAAAAAATATTTATCTGAATGTTAATTTAAACATGGTGTATTTACTTACAATGTAGGACATACTGAAGCATAATTAACTGAAATCAAATGAGAAGTCATCTTATAACAGGTTAAGGTCACCATGTCAAAGGTCAAGGTCGATTTGAATGTTTTACTGGAAAATATATTCTTTTTATATCATGAAGCGAAGATGGACACTATATAGGTGAGCTTGTCAGTCTACAGGTCATGGTCACCAGGTCAAAGTCGAGATATAATTTGAAATATTTCAGCTGTAAATATTTTGCTATGGCATTATGAAGCAGAGTTGATCAAAATGAAATGATAAGTCATCTGACAGAATGAAAATACCATCAGATTTTTTAACTGCTATTTTGTTGTGATATTATCAAGGCAAGTTGGTTTCAATCACACCAGTTAAAAACTAACCAGAGCTCAACGTTGGTTGTTCAAAGATCAATGCTGAATTTTAGATTTCCTAATTGATAAATATTTTGTTTTAACATATCAAGCAGAATTGGTCACAATTAAACTTACTTTCAACAGACTCAAGGTTATTGTGTCAAAGGTCAGTCATGGTCTGTCGGTTTTGTCATCATGAGAAATTGCAAACATTGTTCATGGACATATCACTAACGGTTAACTGTCAGTGTCACACTATAATTATTGCATCTATCATTAAGCGTCAGACAAATAGTGTTCCTTTCTGATGTGTATTCAAGTTTCCTGTGTTTATGGATCCAGACTCATTCAGTTTATATAATTGCTACATATAATGCTCCTTAAACTGCAATTGTTAAATTGATATACCGTTAATTAGAAATTACAGATCCCAGTTGCAATATGAAGTGTCTTGTACTGAACATGGTTCTTATGTGCAGAGTTTTCGCCCTTTCAATGCGAGTCAAATACAGTTTTTCTAGTCCAGTATCAATTTATATCTATTTATATATGGGTCCGACATTGAAATTTATGTGTAAAGAAATCTACTTAAGAAATTAAGTTCAGCAAGTGAGCACATAACACAACCCGAGCTCCTATTTCATATCTACCTGTGAGTGGAAGAAAGGCACATTTTATAGTGAGGCAAATTTGTTGATTTTGGATAATTTTCCTGATTCTTTCAGTAGTGTTGACATTCAATTGAAAATCTCGTTCTTAAATGCAGGTCATGAGGTAGCACACAGGGAAAATATTATTGTGGTTCGAGGCCATATTATACAGATAAACATTTGCTTGCACCCGATTGGTTTCTTGACAGGTGCGTTCGACTCAATGTATAATTTTTGCATTGAGTTGCCTCCCCTACCTAGATTGTTTACAAATGGCGGCCGAATCTGAGGCTCCGGAGGTGCAGACTGCACCAACAGGCCTTAATGATCCTTTACAAGAAACGTCATACCTCTTTGTAAAGGTATTAGGTAGGGGAGCTTTTGGAGAAGCTGTCTTGTACAGAAAAACCGAGGTAAGCATTCAACTTATACAGTTCTGCTTGGGATGGATTCAATAGGGCTGGCGAATATTGTGCACAGCAACAGCAAATTGATGGCCACTTAAAAATTGATCGATCTTGATATTGAAGTCTGTGGATCACAATGACATTTTTTGGTTTTAAAACAAAGAAACGACCGCAGATATTTTCTATTTCACAAATTAAAAAATAATCTAACGTGTGTTTTTGTGTTACATACTGGCTATAACTTTCACACATATCTATACTGTATGTAGGTAGAGTTGATCATCATTTTCACTAGCAACAGTTGTCCAAACGAGACATAAGATATATATACATTGAAAAGGCTCACAGTCCTACTACATCTGATGTGAATCCTAGACAAACAAATTAATAATACATTTGTTCTGAAAAATGTAGTAACTTAGAATGTTAAATATAAAACAGAATGTTAAATATAAAACCTTCTGCATGGTAGAGATATAAAAGTTATCAATGGAAGTTTGATAGACAACGGCTATTTTCCAGGACAACAGTCTGGTAGTATGGAAGGAAGTGAATCTGGCTCGACTTGGAGAAAAGGAACGTAGAGATGCTATGAAGGAAGTGGACATCTTGTCTTTGCTGAACAACACTAATGTGATCACCTACTACAATCATTTCCTCGACATGGACACTCTCTTCATAGAGATGGAGTATGCAAACGGTCAGAGGACTCATGTAGCATGTTCTAGAATTATCAAATTTTAATATCTGAAAAATGTTATTATAGTTTATCATATGTGAAGTAGAATCTTGATAATGTTGATAATTTGTTGCCTAAAAAACATCACACTTGTAATTATAATAACATAATGATGATAATTCTGAGAGTGTAATAAGATTTAGATTGATAAGGTCAAAATCAATATACCCTGGGTAATCTTTTACAAAGATTTTCAGACCAATCACAAAAAAATGCAATACATGGATATCTGTGTAGGTGTTATTTTATTTATGTACATGTATATCAGTATGTTAATCTAACATATCACTCAGTTTCATGTATGAAGTAATCTTTATTTTCTTGCTTTTATATACATTTGTTTATAAACATCTAAGGTAGTGATATATAACAGGTGACAGATATTAGATAATTTGTCTGTTTATAGTTTCAAATCTCTTGTAACTTTCATATTTTTAGATAGAGAAGTGGAATATAAGATTTGAAATCAAATTGTTCCAGGTTTAAAATGTTCTCATATTTGATTTGCTACAGGAGGAAGTCTTTATGAGAAAATTTCTACACAAACAGAATTATTTCCAGAACAGGTTGGTATTTTCTTCTTGATAAAAGTATCTCCACCGTTATTTTCCCAAACTGAGTAAAGAATAAGAAGTATTGTCACAGGTTATCCCATTAAACTATAATTATTACCTCTGTCTTGCTTGTTCAGATATGAAAAAAAAAAATTTGCCGTGCATGGATATCATAATCACACATCTTTTCCAGCTTACAACAGGAAATACGCACAAATACTTAGAATGGTTAATGACAAGTATAAAAAATCAGCACAGAAATAACTGTAGTAAGTCTATAGGCCAACATTGCTAGAATAACTCAAAGAATTTTGCAAATCCAATATAATTTGATCTTTCCTGGGATTATACTACTATATGTAAAACAATAGACTAATTACTGTGATGAATTGTCCTTGTGAAATTTGTTTCCGTAAAAAACTAATATTTTAAGCAAAAGATTTGTGAATGTATTTTATTTGTTACCATGAAAATTGAAGGTGAGTGGGTGGGGCAGTGGTCACACACTTGCTTTTCACCTAGCCATCTGGGGTTTGATTCCTGGAATGGACATGAAGAAGTATCAGGTTCCCTGCCCTACCATTTGGGTTTTCCCCGGGCACTCCAGTTTCCTCCCACAGTAAGACCTCCTGCTTGCTTCCATCTGGGCCGACAAAAGTGATTGATATAAACTGAAAACACGTTTTGCTATTGTTATGAAATGAATAAAACATATGGAGAAAAAAAAAGAAATAGAAAATTGTTTCTAAAAAGAATAGCTGTTACTAAGACAAGATAGAAGACTAGTGTTAATACAGTTTTTTCAGGTATATATTGTAAACAGTGGCTGAGTTAATAACTGATATCTTATTTTTGTCATTTAAACAGCAAGTGAGATGGTACTTATTCCAAATTACATCTGCCCTCATGCATATACATAACTATGGAATAATACACAGGTAAGTAGTGTTATCCACATCCATGCAAGTTGATCAGTCAATAACTATTAAGGTGTGTCAGTCTATGAATAGGTGTGTCAGTTTGTATGCAGATGTGTGGATCTATATTCAGATGTGACAATCTTAATACAGGGTTGTCAGTTTATAAAGGTACTGATTTGTCAATCTATATGAAAAGTGTGTCAATCTATATGTAACAGGTGTGTCAATCTTTATGCAGGTGTATTGTATACAGGTATGTCAATTTATATACAGGTATGAAAATCTATATACAGATGTGACAAATTATTCAGAAGAATGGCCATTTATATGAATCTATATATCAAGCTTTGTACAAGTAAGTCAATCATTGTATAGGTGTATCAATCTATATACAGGTTTGTCAATCTATATACAGGTTTGTCAATCTATATACTGGTTTGTCAATCTATATATATATACTGTTGTATCACACTGAAGATACCTGTGCCTTAAAGTAATCTGTTTGTCCATCCATTCTTTTTCAAGTTCATTTTAACCAATTGCACTCAAACTTTGGGTATACTCAAAACTTTTTCATGTGAGTTATTTCTGGGTCCATAGGTCAAAGGTCACTCTCAGTTATGTTTGGATGATTACATTAAGATTTTACCCATTGTTTCTTAACATGAAGTGCAAGCTCTCAGTAATATTTGGTCATTTCTATAAAAAGAGATCTGAATATACAGCTAAAAACATATATCTGAATGTTAAAGGTAAATACAATGTAGCGTTATCAGTTTCTAAAATGGTATGTAAGTTTATCTAAAGGTTTGTTGTACATATATGTACAATCTATATAGAGGCATGACAATCTAAGTACTGTTGTGTCAGTCTGTATTCTGTGGTGTCAATCTGTATGCATGTGTGTCAATATATAAACTGTTATATTTATTTGTATACAAGTGTTTAATTCTGTTAACAGGTGTAAAGTAGACAGGTATTTCAGTTTTGTCTGGTATACAAATCATTATATAGGTATATATATGTCTATATACAGGTATGTCAATCTATACAGGTGTGTGAATCTAGTCTGTTATGTCAATCTTTATACAGGTGTGTGAATCTAGTCTGTTACGTCAGTCTTTATACAGGTGTGTGAATCTAGTCTGTTATGTCAGTCTTTATACAGGTGTGTGAATCTAGTCTGTTATGTCAGTCTTTATACAGTTGTGTGAATCTAGTCTTTTATGTCAGTCTTTATACAGGTGTGTGAATCTAGTCTGTTATGTCAGTCTTTATACAGGTGTGTGAATCTAGTCTGTTATGTCAATCTTTATACAGGTGTGTGAATCTAGTCTGTTATGTCAATCTTTATACAGGTGTGTGAATCTAGTCTGTTATGTCAATCTTTATACAGGGGTGTGAATCTAGTCTGTTATGTCAATCTTTATACAGGTGTGTGAATCTAGTCTGTTATGCCAATCTTTACACAGGTGTGTGAATCTAGTCTGTTATGTCAATCTTTACACAGGTGTGTGAATCTAGTCTGTTATGTCAATCTTTATACAGGTGTGTGAATCTAGTCTGTTATGTCAATCTTTACACAGGTGTGTGAATCTAGTCTGTTATGTCAATCTTTATACAGGTGTATCAATTTATTTACAGTTTGCCAACCTATACAAGAGTGTCAACCTATATACTATTACCTTTGATCAAAGTTATGAATTATAGCAGGATGTGATTTCTTTTCCAAAAGTAGCATACAATTTAGACAAAAGCATATCTACAATACATGACTCACTATACTATATGTATTTATGTTTGGGGTCCTCATGTTTGAAAACAATATGCCAAGACATGACCAGTTCAAAGAGACGCCTATCTGGCTGTAAAAAATGTATTACCCATGATAAGCTTTTGTATTGACCAGAAAATAAAAATTGCTGACCAGTGGCCTGGTTTGGTTTTAGACAAATAAAGATTGTTATAGTTATTTTCCTCAAAATCCTTAATGGGTTCTTTACTAAGTTCATTTGAAGGTTCCCCACTGTCCTTTGTTGTGCATGTTCAATTTTGTGACAGATTTTAAAAATAAAATGGCTGATAGGTGGCTATTAGGGGTATCGACCCTTCAATGTTTTTTTGTATAAACGTTTCTTCAGATTCACAGGATGGATATTTTTTCAAGTTTTTATACAGCATATTATTTAGTTCCCTTTGTCTAATGATTAGTTTACATGTCAAATTCAATACAACATATGATAAACAGCAAATAAGAGGAAAACGGAGAAAAGAAGGGAAATACCCAACTTACATATTACATGATGGTGGGTACCAAGATTTCTCTAGGATTACTTGTTAATAAATAAATATGAAGTTCTCCCAGCTGAGTATCAATATGTATTTCATATTTTGTTTTTCAGAGATGTTAAAGCTATGAATATATTTATGACAAAAACAGATTTGTTGAAATTGGGGGATTTTGGAATTTCAAAACTTCTTGAATCCAAAGGACAGATGGCTGATACTGTAAGTATATCTGATTTGAATGCATTCTGTGTCTGGTAAAAAGTGCTCTCCTTGTGTTATTTAAATTCTTACAGATCTTTTATTTGTGTTATTTCAATTGTTACAAATTTGCTTCTTGTGTTATTTTAAATTCATTATATTTCTGTGTTGACAGTTGGTGGGAACTCCCTATTACTTGTCCCCGGAGATTGTACAGGGTGCCAGGTACTCAGTTTTCTTCCTGTATTCTCTGTATACTTAGTACCTAGATCTTAACTGCATTGAATTTGCTCTGTGAAATACTAAAATTTTTATTTGATTACATTACAAAATTACATATCTTAATTTCTACAAACAAGAGTTTTATTTTATTCAAAATTGAAGACATGAATATGACCACCACATCTGTAATTGAATTCAGTAAAAAATAAAGTTTAAAAATATGTCCTGAAATAATAATACTTAATTGATTAAAACTGCAGGAAGTCAGTTATGTGATTTTTTTTTCTTTTTTTCAGCTATGATCAGAAAACTGATGTTTGGGCTCTTGGTTGTGTACTGTTTGAGCTTTTAACTCTTACCAAGACATTCCAGGCAACTGTAAGTAGACAGCTTTAATTAATGTATATCAGGATTTAAGGTCCAGAAGCTGAGAGTATTGACTGTCATGTAAATCATGCAGCTGAGAGTCCCAGTATCATGGTTCCCATTTATTCTGAATTCACTCGGTCAAAAGACAAGAAACCTTGTGCCATTACTGGCCATTCAGTGACCTTTGTCCATGTCTATCTATCCAGTATATACATCATGTAAATTCTTTAAACAGTTTCATTAGACTTAAACAGTAATAAACTTATTATAGATTGTAAACTTTGTGATTTTCTTTTTCAGAACCAGTTGCGCCTTGCTTATGAAATTGTGCAAAGTAAACAGGGTGAGGTTGATGAATGTTACAGTAGCCACATGCGGGAATTAGTGAACCTCATGCTACTAAAGGATCCAAAGAAACGCCCTAGCACCACCAACATCCTAGACCACCCAGTGTTCACAGCTGATAACTGGTCAGTGTTTGTCTGCTGTACATTGTTGTTGGTCAATGTTTGTCAGCTGTATGTTGTTGTTCGTAAGTGCTTGTCAACTGTAAATTGTTTTTGGTCAATGTTGGTAATCTCTGTTTTTTGTTGGTCAATGTTTGTAATTTGTATGTTGTTGTTTGTTAATGTCGGTCAGCTGTACATTGTTGTTTGTAAGTTTTTGTCAACTGTACATTTTTTTTGGTCTGACAAGATATCTGTACATCATCAAATCACCAGCTAGGTCTGACAGGATATCTGTACATTATCAAATCACCAGCTAGGTCTGATGGGATATCTATACATCATCAAATCACCAGCTAGGTCTGACAGGATATCTGTACATCATCAAATCACCAGCAAGGTCTGACAGGATATCTGTACATCATGAAATCACCAGCTAGGTCTGACAGGATATCTGTACATTAACAAATCACCAGCTAGGTCTGATGGGATATCTGTACATCATCAAATCACCAGCTAGGTCTGACATGATATCTGTACATCATCAAATCACCAGCTAGGTCTGACAGGATATCTGTACATCATGAAATCACCAGCTAGGTCTGACAGGATATCTGTACATTATCAAATCACCAGCTAGGTCTGATGGGATATCTGTACATCATCAAATCACCAGCAAGGTCTGACAGGATATCTGTACATCATGAAATCACCAGCTAGGTCTGACAGGATATCTGTACATTATCAAATCACCAGCTAGGTCTGATGGGATATCTGTACATCATCAAATCACCAGCAAGGTCTGACATGATATCTGTACATCATGAAATCACCAGCTAGGTCTGACAGGATATCTGTACATTATCAAATCACCAGCTAGGTCTGACAGGATATCTGTACATCATCAAATCACCAGCTAGGTCTGACATGATATCTGTACATCATCAAATCACCAGCTAGGTCTGACAGGATATCTGTACATTATCAAATCACCAGCTAGGTCTGACAGGATATCTGTACATCATCAAATCACCAGCTAGGTCTGACGGGATATCTGTACATCATCAAATCACCAGCTAGGTCTGACAGGATATCTGTACATTATCAAATCTCCAGCTGGGTCTGACAGGATATCTGTACATCATCAAATTACCAGCTAGGTCTGACAGGATATCAGCACATTACAATACACAGAAATATTTAAGAGCTATCGCAAGCTGATAAGAATAGTTTATTTAGGAAATTGTTTTTCTCTCATTAAAACATGTTTTTATGTGTGATCGAAGATAATATGTATACACATTGAGTAGGTAATTTAAAAAATCACAACCTTAACAGGTAAAGAATAAATAACAATAAATAGTATCGAAGTAGTGTATTAGTAGGTAAGGTGAATTAAACATGAGATCTTTATATGTACAAATAATGTGATTCCTTAAGGAAATAAAGATTAACAACAGAAGTATTAAGTAACATTGTAATAATACTTTTTCATTTTACAGCAAAGCACAGATAGAAAAACAGGTTTGGGAACTTAATTCAGGAGCACGAAAACTAAGGCTGCAGTCAGCATCATCTGTTGAAACAGTCCCAGTAATTAAGTCTAAAGTCACAGAAGTAAGTCCTTTTATTAATGTCACATACCACTAGTGATGTAGTGAAGAATATACTGATTTAAAACTTATAAGAGTAAATCTTAGTTATGAAACGAATGAAATTCTAAAAACATATTTATCTTAGATATCACCAGATGGAAAACACATTATCACCATTGCAGCCTTGAAATTTAGTCAAATCGTATTTCTGTTATTTTGAAAGTCATATGACTATACTTGAAAAGTGATTTAGTCATGTGATACATGTTGTGTCATACTGAATTATCCATCATTTAGTTTTATTATCATGGAGATAATGTTTAAATAGGTGGTGGACTATGAAGGTTTATAGAGACACAAAATCACTTACTTGTAACCAACAAAATGAGACTAAAGAAATGCTTACTTTCTGTTGTTGTCTGTTTCAGGACAACATTACAGTAAAGATATGGATTGCTTTGGTCCATATTTTCAGTAAAAGGATGAATATTAGGTAGATTTTGGAAATCAGTGGAAACTCCTTCAAAAATCTTTTGATTAATTTAACATTTTGTGCCCATGTTTCTGTAATTAAACACACAGGTGTACCATTGATTGACTTGACATTATGTATACAGGTGTAGAACTGACTTGACATTATGTATACAGGTGTAGATCTGACATGACATTTTGTCTACAGGTGTAGAACTGACATGACATTATGTATACAGGTGTAGATCTGACATGACATTATGTATACAGGTGTAGAACTGACTTGACATTATGTATACAGGTGTAGATCTGACATGACATTTTGTATACAGGTGTAGAACTGACTTGACATTATGTATACAGGTGTAGATCTGACTTGACATTTTGTATACAGGTGTAGATCTGACAGGACATTATGTATACAGGTGTAGAACTGACATGACATTATGTATACAGGTGTAGATCTGACATGACATTATGTATACAGGTGTAGAACTGACTTGACATTTTGTATACTGGTGTAGATCTGACATGACATTTTGTATACAGGTGTAGATCTGACATGGCATTTTGTATACAGGTGTAGAAGTGACATGACATTTTGTATACAGGTGTAGAACTGACTTGACATTTTGTACACAGGTGTAGAACTGACTCTGACATGACATTATGTATACAGGTGTAAATCTGACTTGATATTTTGTATACAGGTGTAGAACTGACATGACATTGTGTATACAGGTGTAGATCTGACATGACATTTTGTATACAGGTGTAGAACTGACTTGATATTTTGTATACTGGTGTAGAACTGACTAAACATTTTGTACATAGGTGTACCAGTGGGGAGGTGGTAAGAGGACTCCACAGAAACAAGACCTGTTTGTTAAGGGCAAGAGTGCCATACAGGTAAACACTGATTTTATTACACCTGATTATACTTAAGGCAGTTAGGCTTTCTTGATTTTTGATTTTTTTTTCTTTTCAAAATAAAAAAATCTATTATGATTATGATAAATCATAAGATGAAGATTTTATTTACTGCTGTCTGACTAAGCTAATTCTTCTGAAATATTGTTCAATACCATAATTTCCTTTGGAGTTGTTCCCCTTGAAGAACATCTCTATGTAAAGAAGTCTCAGTTAACTGGAACACTGTCGCTGCCTGTGTATTCCTGCATCCATCCATCTGTCCACAGATTTAATTCCTAGCTGATAACTTCAGTACATAGAGACTGATTCGGCATGAAATTTGATTATGATGTTAGTTCACAAAAGTTTAAGTTTGGTCTGACTTAAACAAGGAGTAAACTGACCAAAAGTCACAGGGTGCAAGATGTTAAGGTCACCAGGTAAATGAGTTAAAGATCAAATTTTGTAGCCTTATATATTAAATATTTTGTTTCAATTTGTTGAAAGTTGGTCAGAATTCAGCAAGCAGTCAGCTGAACAAAAATCAAGGTCACTGAGTTTGACCTTTGAATCCAAGCTTCGAGGACAAAATCGATCATAATTAAACAAGTGTGGGAAAATGACTTCTTCATGAATGTGGAGGATTTAGAGCCACACAATGCTGACTGTCATTGTTCTAGTTGTTCTGTGAGGATTTCTTGTATTTTCACTCAAATTTAGTAAATATCTTAAGGTTCTGATCTGTATTTCTCATGTTGTATATCGTAGGTGGCTGCTGGAGGTGCCCACTTTGCTGTAGTTACCATGGAGAAGGAGCTGTACACATGGGCAGTAAGTGGTATTTTTTAGGAATCATTCCTTGTTTTGTTGTACGATATTATGAGATATACATTTTCTAGATACCTGGTACTAATTATTGTTAAGATTTCTATGTAAAGTTTTTCGGATATTGAATGCATACAATTTGTTGACACTGTTATAAGAGTCTTTTGCTGAATAGAAGGTAAAGATTAGTAATTTATTACACCTATATACAATTTTATACCAGCTTGTATAAAATTTTGTGATTTTGATCCAAATGGTTAAATAGTTGTGGGTTTTTATCTAAGTGATTCTGTCTACAGCTAGATAGAGTCTTTCCAATATATGTCGTGTTCTGTCAACATTGAGATTTAATCTAAACATCATTGTTTTGCAGAATGTTCAGGGCGGGGCACAAATTGCTGGTCAACTGGGACAGGGTAATAAGTCAGCATACAAGGCACCCAAGAAGGTGGAGGCCCTGGAGGGGGTTGGCATCATACAGGCATCGTGTGGGGATGATTTCACCCTGTCTGTTACAGGTATCTGTCTCTCATTATCACATCACCTCTCTGTATAGGTATCTTGTCGGGAGGATTTAACCCTGCCTGTCAAGGGGACCTGTCTCAAACAAACCTGCCTCTATGTATGTTTTTGATAGTTGTTTGTATTTTTTATATTTGTTGTACATCAGTGTTGTGTCATGGCTCCATACACAGCTTCTTATCAGAGTTTTGCTTGTGGTTAATATTGAGGAAAGCAAACGTTTTGTAAGAAATTTCCAATTATTCATACATGTACGTTTGCAACATTAATGTGATGATAAAATTGTTTTACTGTTTATGTTGTGATATTTTTGTGCAGATGAGGGGCAGGTTTACGCATTTGGGTCAGACTACTATGGTTGTCTTGGTTGTGATAATGAGGAGGGAGACGAGGTCCTGGTCCCAATACTAGTAGATTACTTTAACACTCGACCTGTGGCTGAGGTCTCGTGTGGACAGTGCCACGTGATGGCACTCACCCGTGACACAGAAGTATACTCCTGGGGCTGTGGCGAATTTGGTAAGTAGGTTGCAAGTGTGGTATACTTAATGCAGAGTATGTATGTGGGAAGTGTGATATGGATGTTGGAAGTGTGATTTGTTAATTGAAGAGTGGTGTGTATGTGAGAGGTGTGGTATGTATGTGAGAGGTGTGGTATGGATGTCGGAAGTGTGATTATGGATGTCGGAAGTGTGATTATGGATGTTGGAAGTGTGATTATGGATGTTGGAAGTGTGGTGTATATGTGGGAAGTGTGATATGGATGTGGGAAGTGTGGTATGTATATGGGAAGTGTAATATGGATGTGGGAAGCGTGGTATATATGTCGGAAGTGTGACTATGGATGTCGGAAGTGTGATTATGGATGTTGGAAGTGTGGTGTGTATATGGGAAGTGTGATATGGATGTGGGAAGTGTGGTATATATGTCGGAAGTGTGACTATGGATGTCAGAAGTGTGATTATGGATGTTGGAAGTGTGGTGTGTATGTGGGAAGTGTGATATGGATGTGAGAAGTGTGGTATGTATGTGGGAAGTGTTTCATGTATGTCGGAAGTGTGATTATGGATGTGGAAAGTGTGGTGTGTATGTGGGAAGTATGATATGGATGTGCGAAGTGTGGTATGTATGTGAGAAGTGTGGTATGTATGTGAGAAGTGTGGTGTGTATGTGGGAAGTGTTATATGGATGTGGAAAGTATGGTATGTATGTGAAAAGTGTGATATGTTAGAGGAAAGTGTGGTATGTATGTGGGAAGTGTTATATGTTAGAGGAAAGTGTGGTATGTATGTGGGAAGTGTTATATGTTAGAGGAAAGTGTGGTATGTATGTGGGAAGTGTTATATGTTAGAGGAAAGTGTGGTACGTATGTGGGAAGTGTGATATAGATGTGGGTAGTGTGATATGTTAGAGGAAAGTGGGATATGGATGTGGGAAGTGTGATAAGAATGTTGGAAGTATGGCACATACATAATACAATGTTTGGAAATAGGGATTTAAGTGTGCATACATTATGTAATTGCATACATTATTGGTAATTGGATCTGTACATTTATACCAAACACATTTTAAGTAAATTATGTGTATGATAATACATTTGGTTGAATGGAAGTCATTGTACTAATTTCAATACTTATTGGAAATAATATTCTTTTATACTTCAACATCAAGGTCGCCTAGGACTGGGTTCAGAGGATGACTTCGCTTCACCCCAAAAGGTATCACCTTGATTTCTGTCTAAGGACATATCTGTGTAGGTGATACTAAAGACGATGTATCACACTCATGGTGTGTTTTTTTAAAAAATAAAATAGATATGGAACAAGTAAAGATATAGGACTTGTGTGTTTTAAGGACACAGGATAAATCCTAAGATAATTTTTGGACACTAACACACTCATTGTGTGTTTTTTTTTTAAAAATGAAATAGATATGTAACAAGTGAAGATATAGGACTTGCATTTTTTTGAGGACACATGATAAATCCTAAGATAATTTTTGGAAACTAAGGTTACAGATATACAATAAAATAGTCACATGATTAAAATTGTATGTGATTGGCCATTTGTTTTTAATATGATTGCTTTATTCTGTGAATTCACATGTTTTCCCACATGACCTCCCTATTATGAGAACTTAACAGTGTAAATAATAAATAATGACTTCACACAGTTTGAGATCTTTTAATGTCATTATAATGACGACAATAGATATGGAGTTTAGATAACAATGACACAGAGAAGGAAATCATTGTTTGCTGAATTACATATACATTCATGTATATTTGTATTCATGCCATGTGATTGCAAGGATATTAAGTCATTTCGTTGTCCTCTGAGATTTATTAAAAAAAACCCTTCATTTTTGCTTCACCAAAGACATGATATTTATATAATCTTTAATAACAGATTTCATAATAGATATATGAAGTAGGAATCTATAACATTCTGTAGGTGGAAACCCCTGGGAAACACTTCATTAAACATGTATATGCTGGAAGTGATGGCACATTCCTCGTCACAACCAGTGGCCGTGTCCTCGCATGTGGTAGTAATGAATACAACAAACTCGGCTTCAACTCAGAAACATCTGGTCTTCGTAAACAGAAACCAAAGGTAAAAACATCTTCATTATTGTCAACATTTTCACCTGTTCCACGTAAAACATGTTCTTTTTTATTTGTGGTTCAGATCTCTGACATTTTTTGGAAAGGTTGTGTTACCTGTGTTCCATATCGAAGACATTCTATGTAAAGGTATTACCTGTGTTTCAGATCTATGACAGACCAGTAAAGGTTGTGTTACCTGTGTTTCAGATCTATGATATTGTGTTACCTGTATTTCAGATCTATGATATTGTGTTACTTGTGTTTCAGATCTATGATAGTGTGTTACCTGTGTTTCAGATCTATGATATTGTGTTACCTGTGTTTCAGATCTATGACATTCCATGTAAATACACATTCAGCACTGTAAAGCCCCTTCTGAGATTTAACATTGTACTGGTATCTGCTGGCCACACCCACTCAGCAGGTGTTGACTGTAAGTACACATATTTTCTTAGCTACTTTATTTAAATAGTTAATTGAAGATGATTTCATTATATTATATAGATGAATTGGTAAGCAATGCTGTTTGAAATCCTCTGTTTCAGTGTATGGTAAAGTGTACACATTTGGCTCCAACAAGTATGGCCAGCTGGGTGTGGGAGACTTTAAAAAGAAGTCTGGAATCTGTCGAGTTGCTGGGGCTCTAACAGGGAAGAGAGTAATCAATGTAACCTGTGGCAGTTACTTTACTGTGGCTGCTACGAATGGTATGTCACACCATATCACCTGGAAATACAGCAAATAATCTGATATCACAGGAGATTATACATTTTTAAATAAAACATGAACTTATTAGAAAATTGTCACATGACCACCCAATCATATGGCTACCCAGTCATATGACAACTCTATCACATTAGTGTTGTCACATGACAACCCTATTACATAATAACCCTATCACATAAGAGTTGTCACATGACAACTCTATTACATAATAACCCTATCACAGGACAACTCTACAGGTTAACTTGACATCCCTTAAAATGATTTGATTTTGTATATTTTTATTACCAGCATGTAATGTGACTTGTTCTCATGAAAAAACTTGCCATTCCAATATTTGACCTGAGATCGTGGGATAGAGAACTTGTTATATAGTATACTCTGTTTGTTACATATTACACAATATTGTTGTCTTGTTGGCATGGCTTTGTTTCTCTCCTCACAGACAGCCAAGTATACTCGTGGGGTAACGGTGCAAACGGTACCCTAGGGGCGGAGTTCCCGGACCAGGGCAAGGGCCCTAATGGTCAATCAATCTCCCTCCCTCGCACCATCTTCGGATCACTCCATCTTGTGTCTAACTTGTCTTCACATCACTGGCACACCATCGCTATTGCTGGTAGGTTTAGGTTTACATAAACAAAGTGAAGGGATTATGAAATTACATTAACTTAGAGGAAAGATGGTTTGAAAGTTGCCTCCCTTGTTTTTACATTGTTTCTCTCTTGAAAAAAATAGTACAGGTTGATCAGAAAGATTGTTGTGAAATGCAATGTATATTTTGAAAGCTTGTATTATTTTTTGACAAATATGAGGTATATAAAACACCTTTTGATCATGTTCATTTGAATCAATGAAATGTTGATTAGTGAACTAAATAAATAGCACAATAACAAAAGGGTTTATGTGATAAAATTGTTTACTGGTAATTTATTTATGATGTAAAATGCAGGTTGCTGTTTTAATGAATAATTTCTACAGAGTTTTCAAAGGTGCAAGTAATTTGATATAACAATACAGTTGAGTCTTTGATAACATACTTTCTTGTTTTGTTTCAGAGAAAGTACTGAATCAGAAGACATTAAAGTCAAGGGTTTCCTCTCCAAAATGTAAGTATATTTACACTTCTTTCTGTTTCATCTTTAATCAGAAGTTAAAAATGAAAGTTTATTTTGAAGAATATGCAAGTTTTTTAAAAACTGTGTAATCAAGTGTGATAACAGCTATTTACACTGTGTAAATAGGTATGATAGCTGTACTTTATACTGTGTAACCAGATATGATAGCTGTGTGTGTACACTGTGTAACAAGGTATGGCAGCTGTACTTTATACTGTGTAACCAGATATGATAGCTGTGTGTGTACACTGTGTAACAAGGTATGGCAGCTGTACTTTATACTGTGTAACCAGATATGATAGCTGTGTGTGTACACTGTGTAACAAGGTATGATAGCTGTACTTTATACTGTGTAACCAGATATGATAGCTGTGTGTGTACACTGTGTAACAAGGTATGGCAGCTGTACTTTATACTGTGTAACCAGATATGATAGCTGTGTGTGTACACTGTGTAACAAGGTATGATAGCTGTACCTTACACAGTGTAACCAGGTATGATAGCTGTATTTACACTCTGTAACCAGGTATGATTGCGATACTTTACACTGTGTAACCAGGTGTGATAGCTGTACTTTACACTGTGTAACTAGGTGTGATAGCTGTACTTTACACTGTGTAACCAGGTATGATAGCTGTACTTTACACTGTGTAACCAGATGTGAAAGCTGTATTTACACTGTGTAACCAGGTATGATAGCTGTACTTTACACTGTGTAACCAGGTATGATAGCTGTATTTACACTGTGTAACCAGGTATGATAGCTGTACTTTACACTGTGTAACCAGGTATGATAGCTGTACTTTACACTGTGTAACCAGATGTGAAAGCTGTATTTACACTGTGTAACTAGGTATGATAGCTGTACTTTACACTGTGTAACCAGGTGTGATAGGTGTACTTTACACTGTGTAACCAGGTATGATAGCTGTGCTTTACACTGTGTAACCAGGTATGATAGCTGTACTTAACACTGTATAACCAGTCATGATAGCTGTACTTTACACTGTGTAACCAGTTGTGAAAGCTGTACTTTACACTGTGTATACAAGTATAACAGCTGTCATAAAACAAATGACTTGTTTTAACAGATAATTTTAATACAACAGACTCAATATGACAGATAACATGGACTCATTGTAACAGACAATAATGCTATGATGTCATTGACTCATTTTAACAGATACTATTGCTATGATGTCATTGACTCTTTGCAACAGACAATAATGCTATGATGTCATTGACTCATTGAAACAGACAATAATGCTATGATATCATTGACTCTTTGTAACAGTTAATAATGCTATGATGTCATTGACTCATTGTAACAGATACTATTGCTATGATGTCATTGACTCATTGTATCAGACAATAATGCTATGATGTCATTGACTCATTGTAACAGATAATAATGCTATGATGTCATTAACTCATTGTAACAGACAATAATGCTATGATGTCATTGACTCTTTGTAACAGATACTATTGCTATGATGTCATTGACTCATTGTAAAAGATAATAATGCTATGATGTCATTGACTCATTGTATCAGACAATAATGCTATGATGTCATTGACTCATTGTAACAGATAATAATGCTATGATGTCATTGACTCATTGTAACAGACAATAATGCTATGATGTCATTGACTCATTGTAACAGATTATAATGCTATGATGTCATTGACTCATTGTAAGAGACAATAATGCTATGGTATCATTGACTCATTGTAACAGATAATAATGCTATGATATCATTGGTTCATTGAAACAAATAATAATGATATGATGTCATTGACTCATTGTAACAGTCAATAATGCTTTGATGTCATTGACTCATTGTAACAGATAATAATGATATGATGTCATTGACTCATTGTAACAGATAATAATGCTATGATGTCATTGACTCATTGAAACAGACAATAATGCTATGATGTCATTGACTCTTTGTAACAGACAATACTGCTATGATGTCATTGACTCATTGAAACAGACAATAATGCTATGATGTCATTGACTCATTGTTACAGACAATAATGCTATGATGTCATTGACTCATTGTTACAGACAATAATGCTATGATGTCATTGACTCATTGTTACAGACAATAATGCTATGATGTCATTGACTCTTTGTAACAGACAATAATGCTATGATGTCATTGACTAATTGTTACAGACAATAATGCTATGATGTCATTGACTCATTGTTACAGACAATAATGCTATGATGTCATTGACTCATTGAAACAGACAATAATGCTATGATGTCATTGACTCATTGTTACAGACAATAATGCTATGATGTCATTGACTCATTGTAACAGATACTATTGCTATGATGTCATTGACTCATTGTAAAAGATAATAATGCTATGATGTCATTGACTCATTGTAACAGACAATAATGCTATGATGTCATTGACTCATTGTAACAGACAATAATACTATGATGTCATTGACTCATTGTAACAGACAATAATGCTATGATGTCATTTTTTAATATTTGATTTGATTTGATAATAATGGAGAAAGGCTTATAACTTCTAGGTCCATATCAAGAAATCTTTCACAAAGAGTTTATAGGAATGTCAGTAGCACCATTATGTATCAAACTTATTGTGTTTTATGTATTATAGACTGTATCATAGAAATATTCAAAAAATCAAATTTCTAACTCTGTAACTACTATAGTTCCTTCAATCCTGGTACAAGTTTTGTCACTCTCCACTGAACATTTTCAATTAGTTGTAAGTCTTTTGATTTGTACAGGTTCAATGCATTTGCTTCAAGTGTGGTTGTACTAATGCTGGGTACAAATGTTTATATATGAATTAATCCGTATATCTGTAGGATGTTGTTATCAAGCCCAGTACCAAATTGGCTTTATACAATTTTGTATACCAGTTCTAAAGTTTAGCTTGTTATCCACTGTTTTCACTTGTAATGCTTTCTAGTGTAGTTTTCTCATCATTCTGGTCCATGTGATGAGGACTTCTTCCTTCCAGACTTGATCAGTTTATATGGAGTACCTTGCATTTATTTGGACGAAATTTCAGTCGCCAGTTGTATGATCTTTTTTTGTAGTTGGTGGAGGTTTGATTGTAGAATTTTTATATCATCTTTGTGACTAATTTTCCGGAAGAGTTTGGTATCTCCTCCTCTAAAAGTGCTAGCATCTGCCATTTTAAATTGATAACATAATGCCTTTGTCCATGATATGATATCACCATTGATTTTCTGACTGATGCAGCCATAGAAAAACTCTCCAGGGAATATCACACAAGCTACATACTAAAAAAAAAGATTTATTATACCAGTGTAACACGAAGTTATTACAATATCAAAAACTTATTGTAACAGACTTATGATTACAGCTGGGACACAATCTAATAGACAATTACAGCATATTAATGTGAAATAATGGGCTGTATATAACTCTAAAACATGGCCAGAAAATTTGCTATCATTACTGGAATCTAACTAGCCACAAAAAATCACTAAAATGAATTTTAAATGTCCAGTGAAGGAATGAGTAATGTTTACTTGTGTATCTATCATGGTTTCATATTTGTATACCTAATTACACTTTATACATAGGTTATAGATTCTAAGGTGGCTGTTGTATATCTATATCAATTCATGGCTGAACGCTGCACACCATGTTGTGTATTACAGACTTAAACAGTCATTCCTAGGAAATCTATGATGCATGACGTTGACTTTGTAAAACAGCAATCATTTCAGAGCTGCTTAATAAAAGATTTATCATTTACACCGGGCAGTGTTTTTATTGACAACTGTGCTGTGTTGATGGAAGTGACACTGGCTAATGTTGATTGTATACATGGTTGTTAGGGTCTACACTGAGACTGATGAGCTGTAAACATGTACTTTAATACTGCTAGTATGTAGCTTTACAACTTCCTGATCTTAGTGCTACACTCTATATATGTGAACAGATGAGAAGGACCTGCACAAAGGTAGGTATTTTGTGGTAGCATGCCTCATCACTGTCTTGTGTTCAGAAACAAAGACAATGGTTTTATGTTGCTTTTCATTTGGAGTGATTTGATTGATTCACAGTGTTGCACATGTCATGTGACATTCAACTAATCTCTCCCCCTCCCTTACTGACATCTCCTTCTCTAACCTCCCCCTCCCTTACTGACATCTCCTTCTCTAACCTCCCCCTCCCTTACTGACCACACCTGCTCTTTCCTCCCCTCCCTTACTGACCACACCCTCTTTCACATATCCCTCCCTTACTGACCACACCCGCTCTTACCTCCCCTCCCATACTGACCACACCCTCTTTTACATCCCCCTCCCTTACTGACCACTCTCACTCTAACCTCCCCCTCCCTTACTGACCACACCCTCTCTTACCTCCCCTCCCATACTGACCACACCCTCTGTTACATTCCCCTCCCTAACTGACCACTCCCTCTCTAGCTCCCCCTCCCTTACTGACCACTCCCTCTCTACTCACCCTCCCTTACTGACATCTCCTTCTCTAACTCCCCCCTCCCTAACTGACCACATTCTCTCTTACCTCCCCCTCTCTTACTGACCACTACTTCTCAAACCTCCCCTTCCCTTACTCAAAAACAGACCACATCCTTTCCACATCCCCTTCCCTTACTGACCACTCCCTCTTGTAACCCCTTTCTTACTGACCACTCCCTCTTTTACCCCCTTTCTTACTGACCACTCCTTCTCTTTTCTTCCCCTTCCTTACTGACCACTTTTGACATCCCAATCACTTTACTTCTCACTTCTCCCTGTCTTACCCTTCCATCTCTGACTAAGCACACTCTCTGTGACAGCCCTATTCCTTACTGATCACTCTCTTTCTGACCTCTACCTGCCTTTACATCCTCTTTTCTGATTCCCCATCCTTTATTGTCCTCTGACTCTCTCACCTCTCCATCTCTTATTGGCCACTCTTTTAATTACCTTTCCTGTCTGACCTTCCCATCCCTTATTGCCCTCTCCTTCTATGACTTTTTCCATCCCTTATTGCCCTCTCCCTCTCTGACCTTCTCATCCCTTGTAGTCCTCTTCCTCTCTGACCTTCCCATCCCTTATTGCTCTCTCCTTCTATGACTTTCCACATCCCTTATTTCCCTCTCCCTGTCTGACCTTCCCATCCCTTATTGCCCTCTCCTTCTATGACTTTCCCCATCCCTTATTGCCCTCTCCCTGTCTGACCTTTCCATCCCTTATTGCCCTCTCCTTCTATGACTTTTTTCCATCCCTTATTGCCCTCTCCCTCTCTGACCTTCTCATCCCTTGTAGTCCTCTCCCTGTCTGACCTTCCCATCCCTTATTGCCCTCTCCTTCTATGACTCTCCCCATCCCTTATTGCCCTCTCACTGTCTGACCTTCCCATCCCTTATTGCCCTCTCCTTCTATGACTTTTCCCATCCCTTATTGCCCTCTCCCTCTCTGACCTTCTCATCCCTTGTAGTCCTCTTCCTCTCTGACCTTCCCATCCCTTATTGCCCTCTCCCTCTCTGACCTTCCTATCCCTTATAGCTCTCTCCCTCTCTGACCTTCCCATCCCTTATTGCCCTCTCCCTCTCTGACCTTCCTATCCCTTATTGCCCTCTCCCTCTCTAACCTTCTCATCCCTTGTAGTCCTCTTCCTCTCTGACCTTCCCATCCCTTATTGCCCTCTCACTGTCTGACCTTCCCATCCCTTATTGATCTCTCCCTCTCTGACATTCCCATCCCTTATTGCCCTCTCCCTCTCTGACCTTCTCATCCCTTGTAGTCCTCTTCCTCTCTGACCTTCCAATCCCTTATTGCCCTCACCCTCTCTGACCTTCCTATCCCTTATAGCTCTCTCCCTCTCTGACCTTCCCATCCCTTATTGCCTTCTCCCTCTCTGACCTTCCTATCCCTTATAGCTCTCTCCCTCTCTGACATTCCCATCCCCTATTGCCCTCTCCCTCTCTGACATTTCCATCCCTCACTCCACACTTCCCCATCCTGTATACAATAGACAGACTTTCAGGTTATATAGGCTGGGTTGAAAAACAGACAATTAATTGCTATGATGAGTATGGGTATAAGAAGATGATTTTGGAGAAGACTAGAGAAGCTGAGGATGAAAGGCAGACACAAGGTATTGGAGAGGGACAGACAAAATACATTGGGAGGGAAGCAAACAAAGGTACTGGGAAGGAGGCAGACAAAATGTACTGAGATGGAGAAAAAACTGAAGTTACAGGGATGGAGATAGACAAAGTGTGCTGGGAGAGAGGCAGATAAAAACAATTAGAGGTGAACAAAAACACAGAAAGGTAGGCAAACAAAAGAGAAAGAGGGAAGCCTCAAAGCACAGAGAGGGAGACCGACAAAAGACAGTAGGAGGGATGCAGATACCAGGCACTAGGAGGGAGACAAAAACACAGGGAGGGAGACAAACATAAGGCAAGAGGAGAAAAGCAGGTAACAGGCACAGGGTGACAGACAAAATATAGTGAGGGAGGCAGACAAAAAACTTGTGGAGGAAGGCAATTAGAGGACAAAGAGTAGGAAGCAGATAAATGATGCTAGAAGGCAGGCAAAAGCACTGGGAGGGAGGCAGATGAAAAAAAATATGCTGGGAAGCAGACAAAAAATGCTGGAAACTGATCTAGAGGCAGATAAAAGACACTGGGATGGAGACAGATTAAAGAGGATAATGTTTGGATGTTGAGCAGATAGAAGATGCTGTGGGAGGTAGAAGGTTGGATTGATCAGACTTGAGAAGCTGGGGTTCCTGCTAGAGGAGATTGGGGTGGGAAAGCAGGAAAAGAAGTTTGAGTTGGAAAGACAATAGGAGTTGGGATAGATAACAAATACAAGAGATGGCAGATAATTGAAGATTTGATGAGGCACAGACAATAGAAGCTTTGGTGGAGAACAGACAATAGAAGCTTTGGTGGAGAATAGACAATAGAAGCTTTGGTAGAGAACAGACAATAGAAGCTTTGGTGGAGAATAGACAATAGAAGCTTTGGTGGAGAATAGACAATAGAAGCTTTGGTAGAGAACAGACAATAGAAGCTTTGATGGAGAATAGACAATAGAAGCTTTGGTGGAAAATAGACAATAGAAGTTTTGGTGGAGAATAGACAATAGAAGTTTTGGTAGAGAACAGACAATAGAAGCTTTGGTGGAGAATAGACAATAGAAGCTTTGGTGGAGAATAGACAATAGAAGTTTTGGTGGAGAATAGACAATAGAAGTTTTGGTGGAGAACAGACAATAGAAGCTTTGGTAGAGAACAGACAATAGAAGCTTTGGTGGAGAATAGACAATAGAAGCTTTGGTGGAGAATAGACAATAGAAGTTTTGGTGGAGAATAGACAATAGAAGTTTTGGTAGAGAACAGACAATAGAAGCTTTGGTGGAGAATAGACAATAGAAGCTTTGGTGGAGAATAGACAATAGAAGCTTTGGTAGAGAACAGACAATAGAAGCTTTGGTGGAGAATAGACAATAGAAGCTTTGGTGGAGAATAGACAATAGAAGTTTTGGTGGAGAGCAGACAATAGAAGCTTTGGTGGAGAATAGACAATAGAAGTTTTGGTGGAGAACGGACAATAGAAGTTTTGGTGGAGAACAGACAATAGAAGATTTTTGGTCTACAGTCAATAGAAGATTCAGGATGGAAACAGACCATAGACACTGAGAAGTGACCAAAGTAAATGACTAGGATACAGCCCATAGACATTGGGAACAATAGTAGCTGACATAGGAACAGTCCATAGACATTGTGAACAGTAGTAGCTGACATGTGAACAGTCCATAGAGATTTGCGAACAATCGTAGCTGACATGGGAACAGTCCATAGACATTGGGAACAGTAGTAGCTGACATGGGAACAGTCCATAGAGATTTGCGAACAATAGAAACTAACATGGGAACAGTCCATAGACATTGGGAACAATAGTAGCTGACATAGGAACAGTCCATAGACATTGGGAACAATGGTAGCTGACATGGTGATAAAAGCTGGAATGAAGGACTGACTATAAAGTCTGGGAACAAATACAGATAGTAAAAACTGGGATATGGGACAGAAATGTAAATAGTATGATTAATGGAAGCACAGTAGATTTGAATAAGGACATACAGACTGAAACTTTGGATGGTAGACAATGATAGCTGATTTCTATGCATGCGCTTGATTATTGTCACTGTGTCTCATTTCATGGCTGCTGTGGTATATATTGTATACAACAAGAACTTTTAATGTCAGATGCTGAAAAGCTTTAATTTTTATCAGGATTGAATCATGTTAACTTTTGTTAATGTCACCTGTTGGCTAACCACAGAACTTTGTCAATTAACTGGCACAGGGATGTTGAAGAAATTACGTACATGCCTATAACATGTCACTAACTCACTGAGGAATCACAGTAATGTTGACATGTGATAAATGTAATGTTTAACAACACTTAAAAATTACAATTGATTATCAGTGAATCAAAAGGCTCAACCTTAGTCTATCCCAAAGCAAAGGTCACACACACTGACCCTAGCAAGTTCACACACTTGACCCCTAGTGATGTAAAGGATACAAACTCTATTAAAGCTAGCGTAGAGCACTTTGAACCCTTGTGAAGTTCACACACTGCTGGTCAATAAATGTCATACACTCTTACACCTAGTGAAGTAAAGGTCACACTCTCTTACTTCTACTGAAGAAATGTCACATTCTGACACATAGGATAAATTAGGGGTCACAGTGTTAAAGTAAAATTCACATCCTGGCAATAGTGAAGTGAGGGTCACACATTGCTGATAAACAAATTTCACATGCTCTGACACCTATTTAAGTTAAGGCCACACATTCTAACACCTATTCAAGTAAAGGTCACTTACTCTGACTCCTAGTGAATAAAGGTCACAAACTCTGACCTTTAGTGTAGTAAAGGTGACTAACTCTGACTCCTATTGAAGTAAAGGTCACTAACTTAGACTCCTGGTTCCAAATAAAGGTCACATATTAAGTTGTGATGTGAAAATGGTCAAATTCATGATGAAATATATGTTTCTACAAAATGTTAGTATATTTCAAATTCTTCAACTGACAGTGTTTGTTAACTTTTGTTTGTATACAGTGTTTCTCCCCTCCCCTCCAGTAGTAGAGGAGGATGCTTTATTCGTGGAGAGTGATGGTATTTCTAAACCGAAGCAGTGTATGAAGTATCTCGGGAATGAAGAGATGAAGGATTCAGGGAAACCAGATTCACCAGAAGTGTCAGAGCCGCAATCTGACTGGAACCTGCCTCCAAGGTCTACACCCTACATCCCATCCCCAGTGTTAGGGGCAAGGCCTAGCACTTACCAGGACTCTGGCCGGCCATCATCAGGGGGCAGTGATAGACCAGGGTCAGGGGGCAAGGCGGAGGAGTCCAACATTCCAGACTGGCTACAGGCAGTAAGTTATGATTCATAAAGAAATATCAGAAATCATATTTTACCACAATATGTTGGTGTTATTCAACTGTCAAAGCATCAAATAATCATTCCAACTGTTGTATAAACATATATGTTATACCATGTATGATTTATCAATTTCGCATATTCTGATAAGCAGACCGAAATGGCACTTCCCGCACTCAAAGAAATTCAAGCACGGAATAAAATAGTTCTATATTGTTCTTGTTATCGATGATATATCATAAATTTTCAGGAGCTTGAAGATGCAGACTTTATACCATTCTGCTCTGATGCCCTGCCTGTGTCCCCTCCGGTGCAGTATCCAGGACAACCAGGAGGACCTTTAGTTTACGCAGATAAAGAGGAGATGGAGGAAGCCAAGAAATCAATGGTAAGAGTAATAGAGTGACAGAGGTAAGCGATGAAAATAGAGGACAGTGTATTGATGTTAGGGGACTGTGTGTTGATGATAGAGGATAGCATGGAAATGATAGAGGACAGTGTGTTGATGATAGAGGACAGTGTGGGAATGATAGAGTATAGTGTGGGAATGATAGAGGACAGTGTGTTGATGATAGAGGATAGTGTGTTGATGTTAGAGGACTGTGTGTCGATGATAGAGGACAGTGTGGGGATGATAGAGGACAGTGTGGGAATGATAGAGTATAGTGTGGGAATGATGGAGGACAGTGTAGAGATGATAGAGGACAGTGTGGGAATGATAGAGAATAGTGTGGGAATGATAGAGGACAGTGTGAGGATGATAGAGGACAGTGTGGGAATGATAGAGGACAGTGTGAGGGATGATAGAGGACAGTGTGAGGATGATAGAGGACAGTGTGGGAATGATAGAGAATAGTGTGGGAATGATAGAGGACAGTGTGGGAATGATAGAGAATAGTGTGGGAATGATAGAGGACAGTGTGAGGATGATAGAGGACAGTGTGGGAATGATAGAGGACAGTGTGAGGGATGATAGAGGACAGTGTGAGGATGATAGAGGACAGTGTGGGAATGATAGAGGATAGTGTGAGAATGATATAGGACAGTGTAGAGATGATAGAGGACAGTGTAGAGATGATAGAGGACAGTGTGTTGATGTTAGAGGACTGTGTGTTGATGATAAAGGATAGTGTGGGAATGATAGAGGACAGTGTAGAGATGATAGAGGACAGTGTAGAGATGATATAGGACAGTGTGGGAATGATAGAGAATAGTGTGGGAATGATAGAGGACAGTGTGAGGGATGATAGAGGACAGTGTAGAGATGACAGGGAACAGTGTAGTAGAGGACAGTGTAGAGATGACAGTGAACAGTGTGGTAGAGGACAGTGTAGAGATAACAGTGAACAGTGTGATAGAGGACAGAATAGAGATAACAGTGAACATTGTGATAGAGGACAGTATAGAGATGACAGGGAACAGTGTGGTAGAGGACAGTGTAGAGATGACAGGGAACATTGTGATAGAGGACAGTATAGAGATGACAGAGGACATTGTGATAAAGGACAGTATAGAGATGACAGGGGACATTGTGATAGAGGACAGTGTAGAGATGACAGGGAACAGTGTGATAGAGGACAGTGTAGAGATGACAGGGGACATTGTGATAGAGGACAGTATAGAGATGACAGGGGACATTGTGATAGAGGACAGTGTAGAGATGACAGGGAACAGTGTGGTAGAGGACAGTATAGAGATGACAGGGGACATTGTGATAGAGGACAGTATAGAGATGACAGGGGACATTGTGATAGAGGACAGTATAGAGATGACAGGGGACAGTGTGCTGATAATAGAGGACAGTGTGGTGATAATGGAGAGTACAAATTAATATGTTTGATAACAGTATGTTGGGTAGTCATTTATATACATCTTACATACCATTACAATGATATGCCCTCTTGTTTTACAGAAAGAACAAAAACTACTGGAATCTAAAGAGGAGACAGAATTATCGCAGAAGGATGAACTGATTGCATTTCTTAAACAAAAGTTGGCCGATATGGAGTCAGAGAATAATCTTGTGAGTATCAGTTTTATTTAAAATTTTACAGCCACCAAAATAATACTGATTATATAAACAATCATGAATTTGTTCACAGCAATTGTTAATCTCATTTTAATGTTGAATTATCACAGCAATATTACATGACATGCATTATCAAAGTAGTAACATTTATCATGAAGGTGATCAGTAAAGCCATGTCAGCAGTGTTCACTCAGAACTCAGCAACCTCCGGTGAAGATCTTCGGTAGTGATGTGATGATCGATTTTAACTTTTCTCAACTGACCATCTGTACCTTAATATTTTTTGTGTTTTAGCAAATTTGGATTCTTTCATGCATGATGTAGATTCCAATTGCTAATAATATTTATTAATATGCAAATTGTTAGTGAGGTATTTTAGGTTAACATTATCAAGGAGAATATATCACTTCCACAGAGAATGCGTTCACTTTATATATATATGGAACACACAGCCAACTGGTTATGTAATCAGTTAACTACATTTAAAAGCATTTCTGACTTTAACTGAAAATCAGTTATAGATAAGAACTAAGAGGTTTGTAGTTTGACCATCCCTTTCTAATCAGGAAGCTTAGAATCAGACATTCCTGTGCTATTGTGGTTGTGTTTATGGACATGACAATTGACCTCAAATACTTTTTGTTTTGTTGATATCACGATCATTCATTTTGTCACCGACAGACATTAATTTTAGATTTTTATAAAACCTAGTGTTACTGATAAGCAGTGTTCGTGTAACTGATGTGTTATGTTTGTTTTGATTACAGAAGGTTAAAATTTGACATTAGATCATCAATTAGGATTAAATTATATATTTTTCTTTTCAAAAAGTTAAAAGAACAACTAGCATCTCAGGAGAGGAGGATGAAGAGTTTGGAGACACAGATGGGTGAGGCCAGGGTGACAGGTGACCAATGACCAGCATTTGTGTTATAGCTATGTAGGATGAAGCGTTTAGAGACACAGATGCGTGAGGCCGGGGTGACAGGTGACCACTGACCAGCATTTGTGTTATAGCGGTGTAGGATGAAGTGTTTGGAGACACAGATGGGTGAGGCCGGGTTGACAGGTGACCACTGACCAGCATTTGTGTTATAGCGGTGTAGGATGAAGTGTTTGGAGACACAGATCAGCATTTATGTTACAACACATTATACCTAAAATACCTAATCTTTTATACAATCAGTCCTACATTTTGTGACAATCAAGGCCTTACCCAAGGCAAATGAAAACCCATTGTAAGAATGAAGATGTTGTGGATGATACCTGGACAGATATGTCTGCTATTTATTATACATATCACTAACAACTAAATGGCTGTATCTCACTCAGTAGATGTAGGGCTTCATTACACATATTTATCAAAGTGTTGTAGATTGTTATAGCTGAGCTTAATTTGGGCTGGCCTCTGAATCTCTTTGACATTTGACCTTCAGAATGCGCTTTTTGTTTCTGTTTATGCATGAGAAGTTTTCTGTTGAATTTATTTCGTGTTGTGCTCTAAAAAGCTACATATATTAAAAAAATACTCTTTAGCTTTCAAAGTGCAAGTACTTTTGATCTCCTTCAAGATTAAATGTGAATTCACTGACTTTGACCATAAGTAAGAGTAATTGTTTTTACATCTATGATGACGAAGTATGATTTCTATAACCTATATCATAATTAAAAGTGATCTCTTTGACCTCTATATTGACTAAGGGTTATTTCCCTGATGTGTATCTCTACTAAAGGTGGTATCTTTGACCCTGTGAATGACTAAGGTTGATTTTTTCACCTCTATGATGACCTAACAGCCCTTGTTCTCTGTAACAACTAAGTGGGCCAAGAGATGTGTAACTGCGCTATTAACCTGTCAGTAGCTGTTCTCTGTTCCAATAACATATAGCAATGTATAAGATGGTTTTTATTATATATATGTTATAGATTTAGTACATGTTGTTTACCCACAAGACAATCCTGAACTGTGTTAACAATAATAATGTTTTATTATATATATCTACATATAAAAAGCTGTCTGTGATATTGTGTTCCACTTCACACTTTAATTAAGTTTTATTAATATTCTAAATTGACTTTAATTTGTCGTTATTTTTGTTTGATAAGTAATTTATATATGTTTCTCTTTTTACATTTTTTACCGCGTATACATGTAAAGTTGAAATTAATTTTCATAACTTCAGAATATTCCCAACTGGAGTTGTAATTAACTATTGACTGTGATATTCATGTCTCTATGTTTCCTCATTAATTGTGTAGTACAATTGTACTTGTTTTATCAGTTAGAATATGAACAAGTTTCTTTCCATTATTTAGATATTGAAGCCTAAAATTTGAGACAAAATGTCTTTTTCTCTGCTGTCGAGAGAAATCTGTTTAAACCATCCAATATGTGCCCTAGTCACTGGGAATTTTTTCACTTTACAGACTGGATTAAAAGTGAGGTTGACACAGGATTATAACTAAAGACAAGTGTATATAGAAGTTACACTACTGTACAATTATGTAGCTTTATATGGTCTGTTCACAATTTACATCTGACGCTTTGTTGTATAAAACATGAGCTCACAGTTTTCTATTTTATACAGAGGTCTGGTTTTATAATGGCTCAAAAGGTAATCATGTTGTATACAACATGGGGTCAGACTTTTCCACACGATGATATACATTTATACAGAGGTCTGGTTTTATAATGGCTCAAAAGGTAATCATGTTGTATACAACATGGGGTCAGACTTTTCCACACGATGATATACATTTATACAGAGGTCTGGTTTTATAATGGCTCAAAAGGTAATCATGTTGTATAAAACATGGGGTCAGACTTTTCCACACGATGATATACATTTATACAGAGGTCTGGTTTTATCAGATTTTACCCCAGCATAATATGTTAATGTTTAGATCTGATTCTATCATACCCCATGACATACAAATGTAGCTGTGTTGTATGTAACATTAACTCCCAATTTTACTTTGGAAAATATGTTAATAATATTGAGATGAGTATGTAAGATTTAGCACATTGTAATCATTATCAAAAGTGTTCCTGGAATAAGATAACAATATATAGTTTACAACACAATAGGTTTGTTACGGTACTTGATGTACAACTTAGTATGGTGTGAATGCTCACTCACCTATTTATCTTAGTAATGGTGTGAATGCTTACTCACCTGTCTACCTTATAATCTGTAAGACCTCTGGGACACCTTATTAGGGCTTTCATCTACACTTTCATCCATATTTCCTTCCAGCTCTAAAAATAGATAAATCTGAGTATTTCATACCTGTGATGAAATAAATAAAGTCTATTATCAGTTCTTTACAGCATCAGTATAGAATAATGAAAACTTGGAGAAACAGAGCTTCCTATGTTCTTGATTTTAATGAAGAGTGTTTTCTGAACAATTTGGAAAGTTCATAATCAAAGTCAAATCATCAGTTTTACATACATTATTTTTTTGTAGTGGTGCAAGCAGGTAGTTTACGTAATAAATTGACTCAACTTTTCCGTTTGTAATGATAGTAAACAGTACACCTTTGCTAGGGTATGAAGAAATATTTCGATGTTCATCATATGACATTCAAATGATACAAAAAAGTGTTTTTTTATTAGTCAGGAATAGTAGTGGGAACTATCTTTCTATGGCCGTAACATTACATATCAGTGTAGACTACAGATCTCAGCCTCGTGCCTTTTAAAGTGTTACATTCCATGGACTTAATAAAAGAGCGAAATCCTTCACTTGTTGTCTTGTTTGAAAAGAAAAAAAAAACAGTACAGGAATACTGTTAACGTGAATGGCGGTGCTGTTACTGTAATCATAAGAGTTGTCTTTCTTCATCCGGAGATCTCCAATTACTCACGTCATGCAGCAAATGTAAAAAGATGGTCGACACTGACAAGGCGGGTTGTTTGAGATTTTTATTCCTCGCAATAACTAAGGAATACAATATATCAGAACGGTGTCAACAGATGATGGTTATTGTCCTCACACAGAAATGTTATCGTCAGGACATTACGTCACTGTATACTGACACAAAAATATTGAAAATGTATACTAAAAAAATCCCAACTTATAACAAGGAGCCGGAAAGCTTGGCATTATCCACAGCACCCGGCTATTGGTGTAAAACCTAAATATGATAAATACAAAGCGGTATAACCATGCATGACGTCACTTAATTATGTACCGCTAATACAACCTGAAGATCTAATACAGTGAAAGTATTAGTACAAAATGCAACGTCTTTTTTCAATTATCAGTTAGATTTCCTTGTATCTCCTCAACTTCAACTTTATATATATATTTATATATCAACCCTATAGCAAGAGTTTATATCTCGATGTAGATCCTGTGTGTTTGATTGTCGATATTTGAATACAGCTTGGTATTGTCTAGGAACAAATTTATGCAAAACTATAAGCTCTGGAGTAATACAAGAAGTCACAAGAACTCGAAAATTAAGTTTGATGGTAACAGAAAAACGACGAATAATATGTCCTAAATAACAAAAACCACAGCAAGGATACTAACCTGATACATACAGAACGTTTTGTGGAGTTGAGTGGAATGGCTTCGAAGTTGTAGCCAAGAAAGGAAAGTTAACACTGATTTTGTATTTTTTGACTGTTTCCAAGGTAACAGAAACAATATGTAAAAAAAGAAATGTCATCAATAGCAAAAGGAACAACTAGGGCACTAACCTAATACATACAGCAAGTTTTGTGACGTTGAGTTGAACCTTGTTTTGAAGTTATAGCTGGAAAAGCACGCACGGACGGAGCCCAAATTAATATCCCCAACAAACGTATTTCGCGGGGGAACTTAAATCTCTCGGCAATGACAACCTGGGGAAGGACCGACATGAAGTCAGTGGGTCGGCGTGGCTTGTGCTTAGTTTCTAATACATTGTAAGTCTCTCTCACTCAGGTGATGGAGCATTTCTCATTAGCTTAGTTAGTAGAGCCATAGATTTTGACGCTGGAGATCTGGGTTTGATTCCTGTATAGATACTTTGCATAAAGGTGTGCATTTCTCTGTTCTTTTGCATTTGCGCCCACCACTCTCACACGGGTTGTGGCATTTATAGTTTCGGACTGAGATTGAAGGAAATGTCATGAAAAGTAGAGAGTGGTGTAAAAGGAGTGGGTTGGTGTGGCTTGTACATAGTGTCAAATACGGCTTTTGTCACTAAGCTGATGGAGCATGCTTTTTGGCGCAGTTGGTAGAACCTTGGATTATCATTCCAAAGACCCGGGTTCGATTCCTGTCGGGGCACTCGGCTGTGTATTTTTCTCTATTCTATAATACAAGACGGAATTTAAGAACAACTAGACGCTACAAATGGATGACCTTGACTTTATCAATACCCGTTAAGGAACTCAACATGTACAGTAACGTTAACGCGCCCAGTGGTGAGACATGCTGATCAGACACCACGGAGTTTTATCCCTTCAAAAGACTTGAAAAAATCGATTGGGTCACATGGTACCTTACTTGAAAAATCTCTTGGCGAAGTTCCAAGGAGGGCGGGTCAAAGTTGAAGGTTTTTAGTAATTAGTTTTTGTGCCGGTGCTGTGGTATATGAAAAAACAATCGGTTGTATGGAATTGAACCATTTCAACTCTTGTCAGCGAGTACATATATAGGGCTTTATGTGGCTCTAAATGGTTTCCGACATGATTTCGGTATTACCGTGAGATACTAACGTGTTTTGATGGACAGGGGAAAGTTTTCAGCGACACTCTCAGAAACATGTCGCTAACATATAACCATAAGTATATAGAAGCATATATCTAAGGGAGTGTTTATCAATTAAGATAAATTTCATTACTTTATAATTTTGATTTTTGAAAGCTAGTATTGATAAAATATTGTATTGGAAGATATTACAGGTAAGAAGCTCATCAAGATTACAGGTGTTGATAAACCCCGTGATATTAACAGGCACCGATTTTTTAAATATCCACAAAGGTGTATTCGAA